TCCTGCTGATGCTGCTGCAGGTTAAGGTTTGAATCTATCACGCTTGAAGACTGACAGAAGGAGGAGCGTTTTTCCCGATCTTCTCTTTTGTAGCCGAAAATGGCCTCGGTGGGCTTAGCTCCTACTTCCGGGGCGAGAGATTCTACCGGGCATGCTTCTGGTGTCGACAGGTTGCCCGAGGAGATGAACGACATGAAAATCCGCGATGATAAAGTATGTTTGACATTGTCCAGGCATGTCTTCAGTACGTTGTTATGTTGTGTTCTTACATATAACTGACTGAATTGACGATGGCCAGGAAATGGAAGCCACAGTTGTGGATGGCAATGGAACTGAAACTGGTCACATAATAGTGACTACTATCGGTGGAAGAAATGGCCAACCAAAGCAGGTACTCTAATTTTCCTATCTTTTGGTTTTTTATTTGTAAATGGATCCTTCTTATTCTTAATGAAGTTGATAAGCTCTTAAACTTTCTACTGAGCCTTGTGAAATCTTTCACTTCTTGCCTTTGAAGTGATCACACTCACAAAAGAGAGCCTTTAGTGAAGACTGGTTATCTAAGCCATCTTATTCGCTATCTCTTAACATTGTTACCCTTATACTCTTGAATTTTAATGCGTAGCTGAAGATAGTTTTGATATTTATGCGTTGAAATCATATCACAGACTATCAGCTACATGGCCGAGCGAGTTGTTGGACATGGATCTTTTGGCGTTGTGTTCCAAGTGAGTTTGTTTATATGTTTAAAACACGATAATATTTGTTTATTCATATGATTGACTGGGTCCTGTTTTCTATTTATTGGTAAGGCAAAATGCCTAGAGACTGGGGAAACCGTTGCTATTAAGAAAGTTCTGCAAGATCGGAGGTACAAGAACCGTGAACTGCAAACCATGCGGCTATTCGACCATCCTAACGTCGTGTCTCTGAAACACTGCTTTTTCTCAACCACCGAAAAGGATGAGCTTTACCTCAACCTTGTTCTCGAATACGTTCCTGAAACTGTGCACCGTGTCATCAAACACTACAACAAACTGAGCCAAAGAATGCCTCTGATATATGTCAAACTGTACACATATCAGGTACGAGTTTGTCTGAATTGTCTTCTTTCACACTTTCTATACAATCACATTTCTTGTTTGCATTGGATAAAGAGTTTTTTTTTTGGGGATTTCTAACTTGTCTCTCCAATGTACATGGCAGATTTTTAGAGCCCTATCCTACATTCACCATTGCATTGGAGTGTGTCATCGCGATATTAAGCCTCAGAACTTGTTGGTACGTGGAGATATCTATACAGTGGATTTGCATTGAACACCGAATCATCGATTGGCTTGTATTTATTACACTTCTAACACTTTAGCTATTTTTTTATGTTGCCCCAGGTAAACCCTCACACTCACCAAGTAAAACTATGCGACTTTGGAAGTGCAAAAGTATTGGTACGGCCAGTGAATCTCTTTTGGGTACATTTTGATAGAAATTTCAATTATTGTGACCGTGGTTATGTCTTGAAACAGGTAAAAGGAGAACCAAACATATCATACATTTGCTCGAGGTATTACAGAGCACCAGAACTTATATTTGGAGCAACCGAGTACACCACGGCTATCGATATCTGGTCAGCAGGATGCGTTCTTGCTGAGCTCCTTCTTGGACAAGTAAACATATATACAAGATCTCATATCAAGCAGGTTCTGCTTTACTGTATGTGGAATAGTGTGATTGACAAATCTATCCTCTGTTCATTGCAGCCTCTTTTCCCAGGTGAAAGTGGCGTTGATCAGCTTGTAGAGATTATCAAGGTATAATTAGCTTTGCCCTTGTTTCAAAGGGAAGCTGATCTTCTGTCACTGTCCATTGTTATTTATGATTTGTTCTTTACTAGATGTAACATGTCTTTGACAATTCGGTTGACATGAGAATATACATTGTTGAATCGATATGTTGATGTTCTTATGTAGGTTCTGGGAACGCCCACGAGGGAAGAAATCAAGTGCATGAACCCTAATTACACAGAATTCAAGTTTCCTCAGATCAAAGCTCATCCATGGCACAAGGTTTCTTGAATCTTATACACATCATTGTAGCATGTTCAGTGTTCTTGATTGTGCTGTTATCTATTATGTGTGATGTTTCTTCTCTCGTGTTCCAGATTTTCCATAAACGCATGCCTCCAGAGGCTGTCGATTTAGTCTCAAGGCTTCTTCAGTATTCTCCCTATCTACGTTGCACCTCTGTTAGTGTTACAAACCTTCTGTTCTTCAACTCTCCTAGCTCCTCGGGGGTTTTTTGTGGTCTTTGTAGCTTCCATGTTAGTTGTTGCATTATTGTGATCTGATCTCTGTTACCCGAATGCAGCTTGATGCGTTGGTCCACCCGTTCTTTGACGAGCTAAGAGATCCGAATGCCCGTTTGCCAAATGGGCGCTTCCTCCCACCGTTATTCAACTTTAAGGCTCATGGTATGGTATCTTTCTTTCCAAAGTATCAGTCCGAACGGAGAAATGCCAAATTTGGCTGGAAAATTAGAGTGGATGTTATTGTTGGAGAATCTTAAAAGTGGGCAAAAAAGTTTCATACAACTACTGAACTATGATGATGATAGACACACTTTTCCGTCCTAGAGATGTGAAAATCCTCTGGAAAGTCCACCAAAGTGTCTGAATTTAAACATGTCTCTACATGTTGATTCCTGGAGTTGTGTTTTCGCGACCGAATGGAGATTCTTAAATATGGCTAACTCCTTATGTGTGGGATTATGTCTTTTTGAAACAGAGCTGAAAGGTGTGCCTGCGGAGATGGTGGCAAAGTTAGTACCGGAGCATGCGAGGAGGCAGTGCCCATGGCTTGGCTTGTGATTTCAGAGACCCCCAAGCCCTAAATGTAACAGAAGAATTCAGCAAGTTATCTGTATTATTTCTCAGATATGATATGTACTCTTTGTTGTTTGTGTATGAGTAGAAGGATCAATGTGGGTTTATGATGTAAAAGCCAACAAGATTTTTAGGTGAGAGTTTGGTGATTCGTATATCCTTACACAACAGTAACGAGTCTCCCCTTTTCCCTTTGGCTTTTACCTTGACTTTGACTTTGACTTTGACTTATCAGAAAACCCTTTTGTTGTGTGCTCTCTCGTCTTCTGTTTTTGTTTTCTGGTCGCAATTCACAAACATTGTGATTTCTCAACAACACTATACCGATAGAGTTGGGGGGCAGATTTGGGAATCATTGATCTTCAGACACAAAAGAGGATGTCTACTTGAGTTGTTAACTGCATAAGAATCTGATCCAACCAAACCCACATGTTAGATTTAACCAGAATGCGGTCCTAATGCCGACAAATTTGTTATGAAACAGCAGTTTGCTTTCCACTCGACCCCGCTTATTGACATACTCCGACAACTGTCTCATTCCGTCACTTATCAACACAAATGGTTCCTAAGGACCCTAAAATCTGGAACAGAGCTAAAGGCCTTGCGAGCTTTCCACATGACCGCACAAGCAGAACTTGATGTTGATGTTGCACGAGAGTGTTAACGGATGACTTTGAACCTCGGAAGAGGCTACACCATTGCTTGTTCTGCTCTGCCAATCTCACAGACCACATGGCACCTAAACCATGACAATCTCAGATGCTTTTATTTGCCCGGAAGCTTATGTCCTGGAAACAAGGACAAAGAAGACAAATTTTGTTAAGAATCTTTCAAGCCAGACATGGGGAATAGCATAATCCCACGAGATATACGATGAAGATAAACAGCTGAAGTTCAACAGTGTTCATTAAGCTGCTGACAAATGGAACGGAATGGAGTAATAACATTACGATCTTTACAACTGATTTTCTTCTGTTCAGGATTGTTCAACTTAGACGATGACAACAACAATGAGGCTGACAGATATTTGCTCACGAATCCTGACAATGGTTTACCTATCAGCTAAGATGGAACAGTTTAAGTGCTTTGGTTTTTCAAACAAAACTGCATTTCTGAACAACTGTGTCTGATGAGATTGAAAGATGAATAGAAACTAAACATACAGAGTTCAAACCATTTTCATGAGTTGGCGAGAAAAATGCAGTCAGCACATATGCATGGCCAGTAAAAATGAATAGAGGGCAACCATAATATAACCAAGAGGCTCGATGCTAAGAAAAATGATAAAGAATCGGAGTTACCAAAAAAAAAAGGATTATTCAAACCGCCGACTGCAGATATAACTTAGCAATGTAGAAACATTCAGATTTATTTTTTGGAATTGTGAAACAAAAACAAGGGCAATTGGTTACTGAAACCTAGAAAGCAGATGATATCGGGAGCAAAAGATACCTGTTTCATTTTGTCAGATATGTGAATCTAATACCGTCTCTGACAAGCTCGTTGATTGCATCCCTGAACCTGTAGTAATCATCGGGTTTGTTGTAAATCTGATGAGAAATCCGTGCATAGCCTGTGATCGGATCAATCTCTCCGTCCTTAGGTGGGCAGAAGTAGATTGGGACTTCAATGCTGAACCTTTCTCTCAAAAGGGTTCTCAATTTCAAAGCATCCGAATCACTGGTAACACCCAAGCATGAAGGCAAACCGACCATGATCATACTAGCGCACATCTCAGGCGGGCAACCAAGCTGAGTGCCCCAAGCTTTAGAAAGCATCAGACCCATTTCAACCACGGCCTCGTGGTTTCTCTTCTTTATGCCGTCAATCCCACCTTCGAAACGGTTGATGAATTCCGAGATCGAAGGAACCACTAACTGAGCACTGTAATCCCTAGTTCCCACCCACGCACTCTCTATGGCCAACCCGTTTCCGTACTCGCTCGACACGACAGGGTGATGCAAATCAGGAGAGTCATTGTTCGATTTCTTACAGTACAGGAACGCGACAGAAGGCGGTGCGAAAAACCATTTGTGAAGATTACTTGTGTAGAAATCAGCACCAATCTCCTTCATATCAACGTCAACGCACCCAATTCCATGGGCAGCATCCACAAACACCTGGTCAACACCTTCCTCTCTGCAGATTTTCACAAGTTCTTTGATGGGTATCACAACACTCGGCATTGAAGTCACATGATCGATCAAAGCTAACCTAACCCTCCTACCGTTTGCTTTACCTGTCTCTAGAGCGTTCCTAAACCGACCCACGATTTCATCCGCCGAGACGACAGGGAAAGGCAACTGTACCTCGATGACCTGACCACCGGCGCGCGTGACGTAAGCCTCGACAGACTTCTTGACGGAGCCGTAGGCGTAGTGGAGCATCACCACGGCATCGCCTCTCTGGAACCGTCCCTCACGGAAGGCCCAAGCCGTCTGCTGAAGAACGATTGCGGCTGCGGTGGTGGCGTTATCGACGATGGAGATCTCGTTGACGTGGTCAGCGTTGATGAGCCGCTTGATCACAGCCCTTGATTCGGCGATATTGGGCTTGAGATCGTCGAAATAGAACCGATCAGGCTGACGAAGGAACCGTAGCTGCCACTCCCGCTGGAGCGCGAGAATGGAAGCCGGACAGCATCCGAAGCTACCGTTATTGATTCGCGCGAAGGTAGGATCATGGTGCGAGAACTCCGATTCGACCTCGGAGGGGGAAATTAAATTCAAAGATTGAGGGCAGACTCTTGGCTTCTTGGAGAAATCGGAGGCGGGTTCAGCGGCGCCATTAGAGGAGAGCCTCTTGGGGTGGCGGTGAAGGTAGGCGGCGGTCGCTTCGTCAGGCGGAGACGGCAGAGACGCCATAGACGACGACGACGAAGAAGTAGCTCGAGCTTATCGAAAGGGAGGAGCTTGAAAAAATTCCGGAGATGAAAACGGAGAAAGGAGGGAAGGCACGGGAAAGAGGCTGCATTATTAAAGAGGGACCAGCGGCGAGTGTGGGATGCCACGATAGGATGGGCGACTTCTTTTGTCGTGTAGTGAAGTCACGTGCATGGCGCGTGGATGGCCTGTTTCTGTCTGTGTGGCGAACGAGAGAAAACAAGTAAAAGAAGCCCACTTCGATTTCATTTCAAGTTCTTCAACAACGTTTGAGATTATTGATTGTCTTTCAGAAAACATGAACTGTATTTTTTTTTTTTACCAATGAGGCATTGGTACGGATACAAAAAGGATAAAATTAGATGACAAAGAAATTCTTCTACGTATAAGAAAATGGAAATAAAGATAGAATCTATCTGAAGACAAGATTGTGGCAACTCTTGTCACAGGGGTACGGACAATCTATCAGCTTCACTTCTGCTCTGTCGAAATACCAATCTCCCACCGCTATGGCCACCGCCTGCATATTTACGGTCAGTTGTTCGAACATGTCAAAGAAAATGGCAGTTGCTTACAAACATTTTGAGATTCAAATGCAGTGATATATGTACATATAAAGCAGTGTAATACTAAAAAGCGGATCCGAGTACCCGCAAAATTTAGGAGGCTCGGATCCGTACCCGGAAACAAAAGGTTATGTATATGTCCTTAACAAATGTACACAGGTATCTGCGGACACCCATCACTGGTTATTCATACTAAAAAACCTCGTATACATGAAAGGCCGCATACCCGAAAATCACGTATCTGCAGGCCGGGTGCTCGATTTTCAGGTATTTATGCCGACCCGAGTATAAGCGATATTGAGAAGAAAACATGTCCTCATAAGTTTCTTCTATGTTTTCCATCACTCTTTCAAGCAATTCATGTGTGTGAATATGATGCTTTTCGACATGATAACAAGGAATGGAGAGATTTCTGCTTACTGTTTTCTGGATAACGGGAGAATCATCCGCGAACCACGTATCCTGCCTCTCGGTTTGGCAGTGAGCGAAGCAGGAGTTGATGAACAAACCGTTTTGTTTAGACTCCAAGAATCCTCCGACTGTCCTCAGCATCTGATTCCTGAACCCTGTTCACATAAAATGATACCTTGTTTAGTTTTGAAAGAAAAAAATCGGGTCCGGGGGGGAAGATTCTGATCCAAGAAACCACCTTGCAAGAACTGGATTTGTGCCGGAGTACATCTCCCGTGGTTTAATCTGCAGTCACGCCAATAACCAATAGGATCTGCAGTCGGCGGTGCGATACTGCTTTGAATCTGTTAAAAGCCTCATAAAGATGGTTACTTTTTTTTTCTGATAAGATGAACCCTAAACAGCGGAGAAGCAAAACCCGGGTTTCAGAACCGGTAAAAAGCGAATACCTGCCATGTATCGTATGCTGCATTGACGATAAAAAGCGGGGTCTTGATCTGACTGATCAAGTTTTGAGGGAAGAAGCACTGTGACAAGGATTCGGGTCATCATAGATTAGAGTTAGGACTCTGGTTATCGTTCGCAACAGCAATGACATAAATGCAAGGAGAAGAGCTTACCGATGTTGGATCGAGATGGTTTGTGCATACACGAGGCAGGTTGTTCGTCACACCCTGTGAATTCATTATCCTTTTTCCCATTAGCATGAGGCAGATCGGAAAAGCCAGAGCAATCTCTTACCAGTAACAGCACAGAGATCAATAACGTGTATGCATACAAGAATCATGAACATAGTAGGAGTAAAGTGTGTATAAACATGTGAAATGATGAAATGTTTGCAGGCTGAGGGAGGCAAGATTAACATACCTGCAACTGTACAACACCATTGTATAAATTCCTGATCGTACGGCCACCAGAAACATCGGGTCTTCAATTCCAGATAACGGCAAATCAGTAACGTTAACTTAACTCAAGAAAAAGGGAAGTAACTTTACACCAAACTTGGAGGCAAGAATTAACCTACGTGTCCAAGAAAAAGCCCGCATCGCTCAAGCACTTCACTTTGGTAGTTGGCGGGAATAAATTCCCGAACTCATCGCAATGCAGAATCGCGGCTAGACCGCCAGCAGAGCATCCTGATAGAAGGGCCTAATGGAAAAAAAACAGTTAAATAACTGTCAGTCCAGAATCACGAGACAAAGGAGCTAAAAAACAATACGGGACCTGTTTTGCATATCGCATTCCGTTCTCCATCAGATCGTCCATGGCAGCTCTCCATATACGCTCTCCTCTGAACTGAAGCTGTGCAGCCTGAGTTTCAAGTTCAATACATAATATGTTGAAATTTTTTTGGAACATAAAGGAATAATCCAAACCAAAAACTAAGAAGAAGAACAACAGGAAAAGAATCTTTGAAGTTCACATTTGAAGAATCTATGACACAAAAACTTTGTATCCATCATGGCCTTTCATCTTTTGAATAGAAGCTGTGAAGCCTATAATTCAACTTTAACAAATAATACCTATTGATCATCATGAAACATACATACATATACACACATTTATATAAAGATATATGATGTCAAATCCAATAGAATATGCTCAAACCTGATTCTGGCTATCCCCGCTGAAGGAAGCGCCATCACAGTACCGTAGCTTCACTCTGTTCCAGTTGAAAAAGTCTGAAGAAAGACAAACAAATTCCGACCAAAGTCTCAAGTTTCTCGGAAAAAACAGAGAACAAGACAGATCTGAGCAAAAACTTCAAGAAACTAAAACCTGGGTTTTCTTGAGCTTTATCACTAAGAATTCCTGTGAACTGAATCTGCTTCTCCATGTACGTGGAGGATCCACGACGAGTCTTCTTTCTGTAGACACAGTTCCTAATGTTATTGCACCATCCTCCTCCCTGTTAGATTGATTCATTTGAATGAGAAATGGAAAATACAATGAGATCAAAAACCGAAGCTGATCTAAAACGACAAACCTCCAAGTGAATGAGCCAACTATTGGATCCGGATCCATGTCCACGGTGTAAGTGATATCCAGGCAATGTTCCATCCAAACAAACTGCAGATTTTAAGACACAGAACAGTAAGGATAGGTTAAAAACTCTGTTTCATATCACTCACTTTTCACCCTTTTTTTGCAAGAACAACTCTATTTAACTTTAGATTCACAGATATGGATCCATACGTCTAAAGTCATTTCACACGTAAATTACTGAGCCTCAAAGAATGCAACAACCCTTTGCTGCATATTATGATGCTTACGGCTACATTCAGACAGATCTGGGAAGAACCAAAGGGGAAATGAATGACTGCAAACACCGGAAACACGCTTTCCAAATACTCAGATGTTTATATAAATTCATTTGCACATATACTATCCTCAAACCTCGTCATCAGTAGGAAGAACTAGAAGAGGAAAACAAAGAAGGCGACTTTGTTAACTTAGAAACAAAAACAAAAAAAAAAAAGCAGTAAAAGGAGAAACAAGATAAATCTGGAAGGAGGTAGTTGGATTTGTATAAATGAAGAAAGAAAAACCCATTTGTCCATCATTTTTCCTTTTCCATCTGACGCAATACATAAAAAGTGAATAAGAAGATACAGCATATGCAATGAAAAAGCTTCACAAGTGTAATAGCGATAAGAACACAAACAGAGAGAGAGAGAGAGAGAGAGAGAGAGGAGTACCAGCTCCTTTAGCAGCAGCTCCTCTGATGAGGGTGAGTCCTACCATTAATGGATTGAGATCGGAGCTAAACTTGGAGACTCCATACTCTAATTCCTCAATGCGATCTAGTTCTGTCACATTGAAATCTAAGTACCCATTTGTCTCCATCCCCAAAACAAGCCCTGCCACAAACCATACCCACAAGAGTTCCTTCATCACTCTCTCTCTAGCTCTTCCCTACAAACCCTGGAAGAAGATGAAAGACAGGAAGAAACTCTAACAAATACCAAGCCGAAGGAGTTAAGAAATAATCGATCTTTGTAGAAAAAGAATGAACTTTTTGTTTTCCATTTTTTTTTTGTAATAAAAGAAGGAGCTTTTATGAGCTGAAAACTCAGGAGAGAGGGAGAGAAGACCAGTGAGTGAATGTAATTGCCGGTCCTTTCAAAAAGTTTCATGGCTGTAAGCACGTTTGGTATCCCTCCCTCATCTTGGGTTTTTTTTTTTTCTATTTGTTTTTTGTTTTTTTAATTCATTCACTACCATATGACAAGACATTTTCTGTCTCTTGGCTCACTTTCCTATATCTTCTGTTCAAACCCGAAACAATATTTTCTACTGGCTTTTCTACATTGGATTTTTAATAAAAATTTGATTTTAAAATTTGTATGATTAATTAAAATCATATTCACCCTCGAGGATTGGTGAAAATAGAGGAGGTGAGACATGGTAAAAATATTTTTTTTTCTTGCAATAAATTCCGGAAAACAAGTGATGGGCATTTGTAAATGGGTGCAGTGTAAGATGGGTACATTATGTTATACACATTTAAGGATTTGATTGTTGTAATGTCTGAGAAATCATCAGACTTTTATTATGTCTTGATTACGTTTAAAGCAAAGCATGTCTCTCACAAATTAAACACCAATACATACATACATACATACATACATACATACATACATACATACATATTATTAAATTAAGAAGGGTGGAGTATGGTCCATGAAGTCACACATGGACCTTAGTTTTTTTTTTCTTTTTTTTAAAGAAAAGAAAAAAGTGTGAGGCCACGCAAATGCCCAAACCCACTGCGGGCCTTTTGCCGTCCGCCCCTCGTATGGGTCCAACCGGAATTGACTTCCCACAATTTTCCATTTCAGCCCCATGTTTTCTTCTCTTTCCCATTTTAGGCCCAACTAATTCTTCTGGTTCTTGATAAAACTAATCTGAGAGGAGGACGGATGGATCAGTGGAAAGGGCTATATGTGTAAGAGACAAAGTTAAGGGTTCTTCTACTGTTTAACGCAAAATCAAATCTAATTCTGGATTCCGACACAATTTCTTAAGGACATTATCAAAAATATATTTACTTTGTTATTGATGGTTAAGATATACAAAGTTAGACATAATAAATTAGTGTGATCACCATAAATTTAATATTATAATTAATAAAATCAAAATATGACCACACTATATTTTGGATTACATGGTCATATGGTTACACTTGGAGCAGTTATTGGAGCAGTTAGAGAAAGGTATATGTTGAAGTCAAAATAGCAAAGGTTATTTTTAACATAATGCCCTCTTAACCTATTCAAGAACCCTGCAATGCTTACGAATATTTCAAGTAACTGTCCGTATTTGCGAATTGAGTGTATAGGATTTCAGGAACTCGTCTGCATGCCAAACGAATACGAATCCGTTCGCCAACAAGAACCTGGTATTCGAATCCGGACTCTAGAGTTTTGACTATCGATTATCTGCATAACCCGAACCGAGAGAGGACATAAGAGCGAAATGACGAGACACGAGAAGATTGAAGGCAAAGACGATGACAGGCGAGGCTCTCGTGCCTCGTCACTGATTTACCAGCTTGCCCTCTCGTCTCGTCTTTTCTCGGCTAGCACCTCGACTATCCCCTCACATTTTTCTGTCGGTTAGGTACCTGCAGTACCCGAACCCACAACGCAACCCCACGGTTTTCCAATACCCCGTTGCCGCTGCCTTTCCCGAGCTTTTATTTTTGCAACATACTTTACCAACACCTCGTTGAGGGAATCGCCGTACTCGTTCAATATCAAAATCGAACCATCTAACGAGATTCTGATACTTTTTCGATTTCCTCAAACTTTCGGATTCCTGCCAAGCACAGAGGGTTAAGCCAGTGAAGATTGTAACTTCTGAACTTCAAAAGACAGAGAGAGAGATACGCTTCAATCTAAACAATTACATTCACAGTAAAAATAACGCTTGACAACAAACAAGCAGTAAAGTTATGCTCTTTCATGGCATTTTTTCCATTGGGTAAGGTTAGAAAGGCAATCGGGGCGAAGAAAAGTCGACGACTTGACCGGAAGAGCTGACCAGATAGCAACATCGGCAATGGAAAGAGAATGACCAACGAGGAAGCCTGCAGCTCTCAAGACACTCGTTGATGCCATTTCTGGCACTCCTCAACCTGATCATGACCCAAAAGCAAGCAGAGGATTTTGAAACACACACGAAGACTCGGATAACGATCCAATATCAAAAGTTAAACCATGAATCAGCACTTGGGCAGTGCTGCCTCAAAATCAGCACCAACTTTATGTGGAAGAACAGACATCCCACTCAATTTGCACCTAAACCAGCATTCGGTAAAATTAGATTGAGAGAAGATAAAGAAACAAACATAAGAGAAGAGAGGAAGATAGTACCCGTCGGAGAAGACTAAGGTAGGCAGGGACGGCAGAGGGATTTCAGATGCGAACCGAAGCTTTACTCCTTCCGCTCTCTAGTTTCACCCAAATGGCCCTGACTCGGAAACAGTAGAAGGCGCAGATGAAGTTTGAAGAGATTGATCAAGAACAGTAGAAGCTGTCTCCTTTTTCTCTCCCAGTGTGCATAGAGAGGGAGAGAGTCAAGAAACAAAGCAAAAACTGGATATGCACATTTCATTGGCTAAGAGTTCTCCATGTAAATAAGCTTAGTGTGATAGCATCTTTCAGTATGCTATTTGGACAACCATTTGATGTTTCTGAAAACACCGGAACCACCCGATTTGTCCTTCTGACATTCTCAAAGTTACTATATGCCAATTACCAATGATGCATTTCCCACAAAAGTATATTTGACATCTCCCTCTTCTGCTTCTGCTTCTTCTTCCTTGGTGCTCATTACAATTTACAACCAAAGCTTAAAAAATGTTCATGGATCTAAGAATTTTACAGAAAGTTTCCACGCAAACACACCAGCACTTGCACCCAAAAGGCAGAATAGATAGACAATGAAATATATTTCTTGGGTTATGAAGTTTCTCACGCTATGACAAACAAATGCTATGAGAGCTCATATGCTGCACCGACAAATCAAAGCAGCTATTGTGAGTTCCTGTTGAAGTGAATTCAACTCTAAAAGCGCATGTAAAATATATACCACCACACTGTAATAGAGACTAGAGCTTTATCCAACTAAAAAGACTGTCATATGACTATAAGAGCAGAATAGATTTCGATGTCACATACTTGAAATATCGAAAACAGCTCATCTTGCTAATGGTACTCATACCCGGTCTAACAATATATCCAAGACTATATATCCTGAGGGAAAGTGTGTGTATATATACATGTGTGCAAGTAGCAACATACATATCTCTGCAGCTGTCCAGTGCTGACAATGTTCTCATAGAGGAAGTTAATCCGACTCACAGTTCTTGGACTCTGACAACTTCATGAAACATAAGCATCGAGTTCTTCAAGAGAGCATCCATAGAGGCAAGGTAATGCATGAAAGTCAGGCAGAATTGTAAATCGGTAGCTGCAACATGTCTGAGAAACTAACCAAGTCACAAAGAAAAGCTCTACCCGACAAAGCTAAAAGGTTGGACACTCAAATGAAAACTCAGCAATAGCAATGTTCTCTCAACGAGTCAGATTCAGTGCTCAACAGCTGATTCTCCTATGGATTGCTTTGCTAAAGAGTTAGCATTTGGGAACAAGGAAGTGGAAAAGAAAGCTCCCATGGGTATAAACGAAACGTAAGACACGAAACAAAAACTACTGGCGAATACTATGAAGTCGATTTTCTACAAAACTAAAAGGTGAACTCAATTCAATGAAAACTGCAACCCAACAAGAAGAAATATTCACTCTGTGGTTAGGGTCAGATTCAACACTCAATTCTCATCCTATTGATTGATGCTATGCACGGAAAATTAGAGAATCAACAACAAGCACTCATGGGTATTGATGAATCGATGGGGAAAAAAATCTGTACAGCTTGAGAGAAACAATATATTGAGCTATAATAAGAACCCCCCAAAAAAACTCACAATCAAACGTGTGGATTGCACTCCTTGGAGCAGAAATCATCGGTCTCCAACAATGCTCTCATCATCTCATGAGTAAAGTTCTCATCGTTAGGGTCAGAGATCGGAGAAGGTGATTCCTTTGTCTCGGGAGGCTTCATTCCACAAAAGCCACAACCTTTCCATAACCCAGAAAGGGAAGAAGACGAAATACACACCTTTGGCGAAATGGGTTTCCTCCTGATCTTGAAGCTAAGCCGTTTCCTGGGCTTGGATGACGAGGGCATCACCAATTCATCCCCTTCCTCCGATTTCACATCGTTGCATCCGTACCCTTTTCGGCTCCTCTTCTTTTTCTTCTTCTTCTTCTTCTTCTTGTCGTTGTCGTTATCGTCTTCATTTACCGAAACCTCCTCCAAACTCCCAGGCATTAACCGAATCCGTTCTCCGACCAAACACAGAGATCGATCGAGATTAAAAGGCCGAGAGAGATGAAACGAGAGCAGGATGAGGATAATCCGTTTGTAATGGTAAGGAATTGTGGATCTTCTCTTGCCTTCGTCTCTTTCACGCTTTCATCCCCATCTGGGCTGGCTTTCGGGTGATTAAATCCCGTGTTAACTCGCTAATTAATTGTAGCAATTAATGGATGCATTAGGTTTGGATTCGGTATCAGTTTCGATCTCTTTTCGGCTAATGGATTCTTGCTTTCTTGCGTGATGCTGTTTTGGTATTCGTTTAACCGACCGGTAACTGCTGTGGGTTTTTTACCCAAATCTATTTGGGTCGCATCTATTTCATCTGTACACCGAAAACATAACACATTTTTTTCTCTGCGAAAAAACGAAATTACCCTTACTGAATTACGATATTTATCCGTTCGAAAACAACTTCGTTATTACGACTTCGTAATTAAGTCTAAATATAGTTACAATTGATTCTAAAAAAGGTGGCAAAAAATCATCTGTCTTATTTTTAGTTGTATATCAGTTATATGTTAGTCGTAATAAAGTCGCAAAAAATAAAACAAAAAGGGTATTTCAGATTTTTTTCACCGAAAAGTGGGTTAAAATTGAAAAAAAAAAAAAATTTTTGGGTGGTGTACACTGAAATAGATGTGACTCAATTGGGTTATTTGGGTGATTTCCCAAACTGCTGTTAACCACGTTTTCCTTTGCAACCTCGTGTGGCAGCGGTGCATAATTAGATTCTATTATATAAAAAAATTAAATTAAATAATAATATACAATTTCATTACAAATCGCCGGATATATATATATATATATATATATAATACTATTGCACTTCTGTGGTTTTGAGCTAAGAGCAAATTTGATTAACTTCTCTTAAACAAAGAGATTCAAACAAAAAGAAATTTAATTTTTTTTATTGAAAATCGAATTTGAATATAGATTTTATAAAAAATTATAAAATAGGAAAAAATAATTAATTCCAAATATAATAGAAACTAACAAATATGGGTTCCTATTCACCTTGTGATTTTTGTGATGAAAAACAACGGATACACTATTTTAATAGCTGAAAATTATATTTTTTTAGAAATATGATAATATTGAATAATGTCAACTTACAATATATGTAGATATATGTGAAACAATATTTTATAGTGATTCAAATTTAATGTACAGAAATGATTGTTGTCTTTTCATCCTTGTTCTTGCTCCTTATCTGGGTTCGAACCATATCAAGAAAGAACATATCTTTCTTGTTTTTTTTCTCTTGAATTCCAAAACTATTAATTACAATTACAAGAACAACATAGAACTAATTTTATCACATGCCTTAATTTCTCCTCTGTCTGCAATTATGAATCCCAACAGAAACCTAAGCTTTTGGTAATGGGTTTCTTTCTTCTAACAAATCCGACATCTAGGGTTTGAGAAAAACAGGAAACCCCCATTGAGAAGATAAGATGAGATTGGGGTATAAACCTTCCCTATTCATTTGGTCCAAGAGGCGTGCGTAAATGCTCATGATCCTTCTGGGCAAGATCGTAGTGGAGGCAAGGGCCTTGAGCACGAGCCTTCCTGGACGGTTCAGGCGAAACCCTTTTGGCCGACCGTCGGGTTTCTTGGCCGACAAGAAATGTCTTTTCCGCCTTGTCGGCTTCTCATTTGTCAGCTTCTGGTAGCCAGATCTCGAGCGGCGTCTACCGACAATCTGCAGCATCTTTCTGTTTAAGTGTACTGAGAACTGTTAGGGTACAAATGATGAAGAACTGAAATGGAAGAAGTTAATATGAGATCAAGATCACAAGAAAATGAGAGTGAAGATGAAGGGAGAGTGAATTTTTTATCTCTTGCAATTTCGAAAACTAAAACCCCAAAACAAAGGGAATATGTCAGAGTTTGCCTTATTTTGGCGTTGGGTGTAAATCACAATCAAGAAATTGGCTCTTAACTCTAACCACAATAATATGAGAGAGAGAGAGAGAGAGAGAGAGAGAGAGAGAGAGAGAGAGAGAGAGAGAGGGGGGTGTTTGATCTTGAGAATTAAACACAAATTAGTGGCCTTTTAAAAGGGGTGAAAAGGAGAGGACTGCGTTTAGATTCGTTGATCACATGGGTATTATCGAATTTTTTAATTAAAAAAAAAATTATGTAGAAATTGTGGAGTTTACAGATTCGGACACATAGGCAAGTGACATTGTATGTGACCTCCGGGGCTATGGTTTTTGTGACAAAAGGATGAATCTTTATTCCAAGAATTTCATTATTAATTATAAAGGGGGAAAAGGATGTGAATATCGATATTGGGTGTCATGTGCAATGAAATGATTGCATTGCAGTTATATATATATATATATATATATATATATATATATATATATATTGAGAGGACTAATAATTCAGTCAAGGCAATGGACAAAGAGACAAAGGTCTAAAAATGTACATTGTAATCTTCTACAATGATTGGAAATATGACAAATAATGAGTTGGTTGATGGAAGGGGGGATGCCCATTTTCATCGGTAAAATTTTCATTACCAACCCAATGACATTGTTTCCATAAAATTTGATAGTAAAAGTAAAAAAAAAAATATTTAAATAATATTTAATATTTTATTCGGTAGGCCCACCAAATTTTTTTGGAAGGGGCCCACATAGGCCCATGTAGGCCCAAATTGAGCTTAGTCATGGGTTCCATTGAGGCCCATCATTGACAAACTATTAGCCCCAAAAGGGCCAATAATACCTATCTTCACGTTTTGACGGTAAGCCCAACCAAACTCCGGGGTTCTCGACTTTTAATAGAATGGATATTTCGGTTTCAATTTGGATTATATTCACTATTTCGTTTTTAAGATAATTATAACCAATAGATTTTTATATTCAATTCAATTTGATTTCGTTTTTATTAATACAAATATTCATTAAAAAAATATTTTTTTCAGTTATTTTTTATTCGATTTGGTTTATTTCGATTCCGCTTAACCTTTGAATTCGGTTCAATTATGTGTTATTCGATTAAAATCGATGTGATTATTCGATTATTAATCAAATTACATATCCCTAATTTTGATTCCACTTATCTAGCTCAATTGCACTAGATTTTTTATACTAAAAAAATAAATTAAATTCATTGCTGGAATTTTTTTTTTATTATACAATGAATTTACAAACTGAATCCATATTTGATTTGGTTAACCGAAATCCAAACTCAACCGAATCAAATCCGGTTTGACCACCACCCTTGGTTTTGACTTTTGACCGACCACTCCCTTTACGTGTGTTCGCGCGTGTGAAGAATATGAATGCATATTCACGTTTCTTGCATGACTCCATGGGAAACCCTCCCTTTTGACCATTTCTCGTGTTCATCTTCTTACCAAACTCCTTAAACTGAATTAATTAGAAAAAGAAATTAAATTTATGATAACAATAGTAAATTAGATTAAGGGTTTATCATAATCAACGCGAATCTGAAAACTGAGGACCTTGATATTCGGATTCAGCCAGAGAAATGGGGGAAGAGGGGAAGCGAAGAGGAGAGTTAGAAGCAGTAGGAGGGTTCGTGTCGGAGACGGAAGAAGAAGCGTCGCCGGCGGTGAAAGAAAGCCGACCGGAGACGGTACCAGACGACGCGTCTGAGCCTACGAGCAGATCTCAGACGTAACCAGACAACTTTCTTAACTCTCCTCACAGATCTGTGGATCCTCTCCGACAAGCTCCTCTTCCTCGAGAACTGGTAGCTCCTCAGGAACAGCTGTCTCTTCTCTATGTACTCTCCATACCCGTAGCAGTAGTAGTGGTTGCTCTGCCACTCCCTGTTCGTGGACGGCATCTTCTCACTCCTCGTCCCCATTGGAGCTTCTCTTATTCTTCTGGGAATGGGGGAGAAAAAGGGGTTTTAGGGTTTGATTATAGAGAGAATGGGTCACATTCGTTGAAGAAGACGATGATTCCGGTAAGGGTCGCTCTCGTAAGAATGGTGGCTCGTGAAAACCCTAAACCCTCCGCCGCCGCCGCAACCGCAATACTCCGACTTAACCCTTCTTCTTCCCTTTGACGTAAATTTGTCAAATCTCTCTCTCTCTCTCGTAACTACGGTTTCTCTTGCACCCTTTCCGTGCTGCTAATGCTAAGTATTTATTTAGTCGTCTCGTGTTTCTATTGGCTCTCTCTCTCTCTCTCTCAAAAGCCTTTATTTTGTCATGATTTTCCCAACAAATATAAGAAAATGTGTATTTATATTTTGTTTTTGAAAAAAAGGAAGAAAATTTCAGTCAGAATTCGAAAGAAAACAAAATATTCGATCTTGTGAATCAGAGACCATATTACAAGATACTATGAGGAATGATATTTTGTGGGCCAAACCCAGTTAAGTTGTGTGGTCAGTTAGGTGAGTGATGCGAAATGGGTAATAAAATGGGGTTGTAAAGAGGGGATGAATGATGGCCCAACTCCTCCTCCACACACAAAACAGAGACTCCTTTGTCCCTCTACTCATTATTTCCTTAAACTCTCTGCCTTGGATGGGACGCAACCTATACAGCTCACATGCATGCTGCAACAAATTACAAACAAGACAACCTCAAAAAAAAAAAAAAAGATTTAAGAGAATCTCTCCCAAACAACACATTGTGTGTTTCACAAATGTAAACATTCCAAAGGCAAGAAAACAGCATCATCTTCTGCCCCTTGAGCTTGTATGCCCTCAGGGTCTCATTTCTTCTCCCTGCACTATTTTCAAACCATGAGAGAGCAATGCCAGGCCCAGGAGGAACACAACCTGTGGAAAGAGCTTCTTCTCAATCCAGAAGATGGGAAAAGAGGATGTAATTGTCTAAAGTCTGATTTCGGCACATATAAACAATGCCTCGGGTTTGAGACGAAATGATTCACAAGTCGAAATGAAAATGCAATCAAAGTTGTTTATCCTTTTGTATATCTACAAAGCATCACCAGTGGAAGGCTCATCATAAACAACAAGGCTTTCTAATTCCAGCTATAAGAGCAAGGCAGATGGGCTTTAGAAGGCATTTCTCATTTATCACTGAATCCTACTAACATCTTCCAGCTAAAAAAGCACACGCTCGACCATCTCCAGAATAAGACTTCAACCCTAATAGCTCCTTCCCAACCCAAGTAACAATGGGGGAGAGAGCACATCCATACCGGCTAATGGTAGCTTTTACATGTTCTTCCTTCTATCTAGTTCCACTTTCTTTTGCAGGGGGTACCTTGTTTGGGTAACTAGATAAATCGATGTCAATGAGTGACATGTCAATGTCATACACCGTGGCAAGAGAGTCTGAGGTATCCACAAGCAAGGAAGATTTCATGGAATCAGGGCGTGCTGGATCAAAATTCGTGCTAGAACGTTTTGGCGTACTTGTTCCTGAAGAGGAGAGGCTGGAGAGGGTAACACCGTCTATCTTGTTTCCATAGTTGAGTTTGTTCTTTCTCACAGCATCCATCTCCTGTCCAGTCGGCACAAAAGTCCGTGACCGGTATTTCCTTGGCCCCTCGTCACCGTCGTTATGATTATACAGCACATAATCATGATACGTAGGGGCAAACTGTAGGAAGACAATCCATCATCAGGACTCCAGAAGAGAGACATAGTATTAATCATTTGAATAGAGAGACTTTTCAACACATAACATAAGCTACCTGGTGAACAGTATCATGGTAGAAGTCATTTAGTTTTACAGCATGTGCCAGGCTTCCTGTGAAGCTGCGAGCCCCACCAACATTGGCACCAGCGTACTCCTTGTATGGAAATGCATAAAGATGACCCGCTGCGGCAATTAGCATCTCAAGACATATTATAAAATTCTGGAAGAGAGCTGCTTCTTCTTCATCCCTTATCAATCCAGATTTAGCGGCAAGAAAAACAAGAACACCCTGTAAAATGTAGAGGATTGTGAGACACAAGGAGTTTCTGAAGAATAGAAAAAAAGGAGAATTTGGTGAAGTAATTTAATTCCAGGAATAGGAAAGGACAAACAGACTTGCCTGCCAATATGTCAGAAAGACAACAGACTTTATTATCACAAACTTTGGGACTGGATTGAAGGGCTGAAGCAGATCTTTGCATGCCATGTAAAATAACACCAGCGCATACAGAGCGACAGTGTATGATATGGTATATATGATGGTAATATAGAGGTATGATTGATCAGGGCTAAAATTCCCATCCTTGTATTTCCCTTTTGCATAAAGAATGAGAGTGACAGCAACTAGGATAGGCTTTAAAATTACGAACTGCAGACAACCTTGCTTGCACCGTCGAATAAAACGCCTGCATCAAAAGATTATCATGACATGTGAGCTTAGACATGCCAGCCAAAAGGCAGTCATCTAAAATTCAAATACAATGTTAAAAAAGAAATGGTTGTCAAGAAGACAAATACGTCGGGACCAAAATATTCACAAACACATATGGCTAACATCAACAAACAATTGTCCAAGTAGCAAAGTTTCATCTGTAAAGTACTGTCAGGATGGTTTTCAAGAATCTAAACAAGTCCAATGATATCTATGGATTTGTGTGAAAAAATAATATGGTAAATGAAGGCTGCACACGAAATATATCCAGGAATGCTCAACGTAAATTCCACCATTCTAAAACAGGATGGAGAGGCAGCTGGGCATGTTTGTCACCAGATAATACAAAAGGGTAATAGCTTTCTTAACAAAGATGCATTGCCCAAAGGATCATCTTCAATCAGCGCAAACAATGTGGTTTCATTCTGCGAACTAACCCGTCCAATGGTAGTGGTGGGAAGCAACATGTCATGAGACACCATGATGGCTTCAGCGAGCGGCCACTTAAGCTTAATACAACTGCTCCTGGGCCTCCAACCCATGCCAAACACAATGACAGGAAATTATAAATGACCCATGCTTCGTAACTGATACAAGAAAATGTCAGACATAATAAGAATATAAAATCCTTAAAAAGAAACATTCTAGAGATTACACACAGCAAAATGACGCAATGGACTCAAATGGAATACTCACAAACAAGCTCTTAGAACTATTTCAAAGAAGGAAACACAAAGAAAGAATTACTCCAAAAAGGTTATTATCTCAACTCAAGTGTAAATGAGACGCCGGTGCTAGGCCGAGCACATCTCATACTCAACTGACAGAATTGGAACGTCAGCTATACTCACACTTCTCGGATGGAATTGAAGTAGATTGAGCTTCTGGGCAGGACAAGAGACAAGAAAGACATCAAGGCGTAAACCTGACAGTTGGAAGAACATCATGAGCATGTTAAGGAGAGCAATCCAACACCGGCTGAAGCAAGAATGAGGAACTTTAGACGACACGAATACCCACCGGCACCATGAAGATGATGCGCACAATGTATCTCTGGAAAGTGGGTTCTGTGTAATTCAAGAGGTGCCTGTAGATGTGGAATAGTGCCAAAGCAATGGCTCCGACAGTGCATAGAAACGCCACGACACCGAGATAAATGGGTACCATATCGCCCATTCTGCGAAAATGGAGACACATAACGGATACATTGTGAAGGCTCATAAAACTATAAAGTTAACAAATACCAAAGTAGCTACCGATACAAACCTGTACAGGAGATAGGAAGGATCTAGAAAAACGTAAAAGCTCCTTGATTCTCCGGAAAGCTGCCAAGAGGGTGAAGGCCAAGGTTACAGCCAAAGCGGAGAAGGAACAGCCAGAACACGAACCCTAATTTTTGCGGTGAATCGGGGTATGAACGTTGATGAACTATCAGCTTGTGAAGTAGAGAATCTCGGAGAAATCGAATGATTGCTCGAAGCGAAGCAGCGCAAAGAGGCAAAATAAGCAGAAATGACGGAAACCCCAGGGTTCGGACACGATCTGTAAAGAGACGGGGAGGGTACCTCGAACGCGTGAGAAGATTCAAAATCGTAATGAGCAAGGAAACAAAGGACGACGGATCGACAGGAATCGAGAAACCCTCGACACAAATCTTCAAGCGGAGACAATTTCGCCGGAAATTCTGATCATTTTCGTGTTTTTGCTTGAAAAGGAGAAAACTTGGAGTGGATCAGTGGAAATGCGAAAAGCCAAAGCGCCGTTAACAACGAAGAAATGAAGATAACATAACAGAGGAGATTTCACGATAATAATAATAATAAGAATGAATAATCTGAAATCAGCGAAATGGTGGAATCCATTCAACGTCCATTGAATCCCAGCCTGAGTATTGTTTTTATGATTTATTTTATTCCTCGTAATGCCAGATGAAATCAGCGTTAATTATTACATAAAATTAATATAATTGTCTCATTATGGGCCGAAACAACGCTGGCCCCATCACAAAAACATCCTCCCTCTCTCCGTTTTACAATAATATTTTTATTTATAAGTGGACGTTTTGAGATTTTCTATACAATTTTAAAATTATCTTTGATTAATAATATTTACAAAATAACAATTTTCTATATAATAATTAAGAATATGTTAGACAAATCATTACATTTTTTTTTTAAAATTTGTGTGTTTAAACCTTAAACTAAAACGGAGGGAGTATGAGAAAAGATTCATGTTGCTATTATAAATTATTATGGACAGAGAGATAAACGTGTTTTCTAATGTGAAATGAGAAGTAACCAACATCAGACAGTCGACCCATTTCTAACCAGACACCATCGTTCATAATTCATATATCTCTTGCTTTCACTGACTTGAAATTTAATTTAAGATTTATAAAAAAAATCTAAACTTTGGAGGTTGAGGGGAATGATTATCTGTGACTCCCCCTACCTGATCGGCAGATATGCCCTTGATGCGTCACAACCTAGACTGCTGCCTGAAAACATTCATATACACGTTTTTTAAATAATAAAAAAAAACCTTGACCATGAGTGTCTAAGCTCTGTTGCATAGAGAGATTGTACAAAAAAATAAAATAAAATTTAACATTTTCTTTCCTAGTCATCAGAATCTCTGTCTCAACTCATCATTCGGACACTAGATTAGCATCAAAATATTGCTAGAGGATAGAAGAAGAGGAAACAGGAGGAGTTACCTTGTCATTTTCAAGAGCAAAGATGGCCTTAACCGCCTCAAACACCTCTTCTACTGTCTTCGCAGCATCAATCTAAAGGAAGTGGCGATATGTATATGTATATATACAGAATTTCGAATGCTCCAACTGAAAAGTAATAAACCAAAGCAATAGAATCTCTCACCTTCCGAACTTTCTCCTTAGTTTCATAATGCTCCACTACCGGCAAGCTAGACTCCAGAAATACCTTAAACCGCTTCCTTATGGTCTCAATGTTGTCATCCTCTCTTCCCTTCATCAACAAAAGTGATGTATGCGTAAGGGAAGTCAGCATATCGATATATTTGTTGTCGGAAAGAAGCCTACACAACCACCATTAGTGGACAGACATGTTGTATTGACCTGGTTTCTACTCAACAGGCGCCTCTCCATTTCTTCTTCGGGGCAATCAAAAAACAAGACAAACTTCGGCTCAATCTTGGTCTGCACAACCACCAAAACTCAGGGAATCAAGAATCGGCACCATAGAATCGTCACTAACTAAACTAACTGGGCAGAGAGAATCGCTACCACAAAAGGAAAGTACCAGATAACAAAAGGATAACCACCTTTTGACACTTACAACATTTTCAAAAGCTGCCCGATTCTCCTCATTACGAGGGAAACCATCAATAAGGAATTTGTCGTTCCCACTTTCTTGAATTGCTTTCTGAAGGAGCTTAATTGTAACCTCAGAGGGGACAATCTTTCCCTCTTTAATCATATTTTGGATCATGGTTCTGTAAAATAAAACCATACAGAGTAAAAAAGCCAGAACACGGTGTCGAGGTCCCTGGCGGTACTTACAAAACACAACAGGGGTTAGCGTGCCAAACAAACACTTCACATGCTCAGAGACACAAGGGCTGAAGCATGTTAAGCTGAATCTTAACCCTTTTGGCAAGTAAACTTTTATGGAATGTAGATGCTAGAAAGCAGTAATACTTCAGTCTCTGTACTCGATGTTTTGGGACATACCCGTTCTCAGAACCTGATTTGATTTCAGCTCTAAGAAGGTCTCCAGCACTCAGATGCGTATAACCAAAATGTTCAACAATATTGGCACATTGGGTACCCTTTCCACTGCCTGGACCACCTGTTCAATCAATTGAAGAAAAAAAATACTCAGACCAGATGGAAAAGAAGTCGGCTTTGAGAAGCAGTAAATGAGAATACAAAATCGGTCATCAGTACAAAGCAAGACAATGACAGCATCACATGAGAACTAATACGAAAACGGAAAAGTTACATTCAGGAAACCAGAGGCACGGGAAGACGAGACCAAAAAATAGAACCCCTTACCCAAGACGAAAACAACAGTAGGTTTCTTCTCAAGTGCGCTACCATTTGCCTCCTGAAGAGAAACACATCCAGACAACATTACGCAGGAGTAACGGTATATTTGTCAATAATGGCAAACACTGAAACTGGAGCTTACATCATAGTTACATAGCATAGCTTCACCACATGAGAAATTGTCTGGTGTTAACTCTTCCTTTTTAGGGGGAATTTTTATCGTACAATCATTCAGAACACTAGCTAAACTGCATTGTGCATAACATTCTTCTACTCTATGAGTGAGCATTCCATGGATATACTAGTAGACGCACCCAAGATTCCTGAAAAGCAATAATCTCTTGTACCATAGTATGAAGGTTCGTCCATGGAAGCTTTTAGGCATTACCTTGTTTGCAGCACCGAGAACGGTTCCCATGGCAATAAGTTAAGCTACGTCCAAAAATCACCTGTGGAGAAGAACCAATTGACTATAAGAGACCGATGCAGGACAATAAATAGAAATCCACCTTGTAACAGTGATCACAAATATATAACCGCAAACCACAGATTAAATGGGGAAATTTTTTGAATTCCAGGAGATCTACGCGTAGACTTCAACAAAAAAAATTCAGATCTTGTGAACGGGAACGGAATCAACTTTCGTATACATGTCCGATTACCACCATCAGTTCATAAATTCACTCGATCTCGTCAAGAACACGAAACAAATGCGAAAAAACATGGATAAACAGATTCACCAAACGATGTACAAGACCCAATTCAAACAATCAGAAACTGAACCGGAAACTAGAAACACGACACAGGAATCGAGGATCGAAACGTTATGAAAATGAGAAATGCGAAACCGATCAAACGAGATGCGCAAACCGAATCAGTGTCCGAAACAACATGTTCTCAGGCAATCGAAGCGACGAAAATTGCGGAAGGAAAGAAGGATGAGAGGAAGCCCACCTGAAAAGAAAGGACCCGGGAAATTGGGTTGATGGGGAGACGATGGAAGTTGAGGGAGGGAGGGAGGGAGAGGGAATGATATAAATAGACACCGACACGTATATACGTATATACGTATGTGCCGTTATGCGTATATACAAAAAAAAAACAAATAACTTCCTAAGTGAATTATTAATAGCTTTGTATTATTTTTGAAGGATTTTATTGAATCCCAAGTAACGTCCAAAGAACTCTTAGACTAAATTGTACCAAATCAAATTATATATATTTGTATTGGGTATAAAAAATATATATAATTCACAAAAAGTGAAATATGAATGTTAATAAAATATAAATAATTATAATTTTTTTTTTTAATTTTTTTAGAATAAATAGTTTATCAATACAAATCAGTTTAACTGAACCAAAATAAAACAGAAACTGAATAAAACAGAATCTAATATAAAAAATAGAAAGAATACAAAATATTTATAACAAAAAAATTAATAGAAAGACATTACCAACTCTTGCAAAATAAAATATGCTTAACTATTTTCAAAAGAAAAAAAAAATAAAGAAGAGAAATTTATTTTTAAAAATATTTTTTTTTGAAAAAAAAGAGTTTTGGGCTTACAAAATGGGCTTGATAGATGGGCCGAGAGAAAGAGCGGAGCGAAGGTTCCAGGTTTTCGTTTTTCTCCATTTGCACTGAAATTGCTTGCCGCTCTTCGAATTTGTTCTGTCACCATCTCAGTTTCTGCTCCGAAGCTCTTGTCTTCGCTTGGATCGCAGAGATGCACGCCCCAGTTCTTGTTCTCAGTGAGTATTTTTCTTCTCCAGATCTCGTTTCTTCGATCCAATTCGGATTTCTTTTGTTAGTTTAGTTTCGAGTTCGTGACCTTAACTGTTCGTGTGATGTTTCAGAGGATTCGTTGAAGCGTGAATCTGGAACCAAGGTTCACCATGCTAATATTCAAGCTTCGAAGGTAATGTTTCGTTCTGATTCTTCTGCTTCTCTCTCTCTCGTTTCTCTGTTTCGAACATGGCTTTACCAGAGTGTATCGGGCATCATTTTTCTCAGGCTGTGGCCGATATCATCCGTACCACATTGGGTCCTCGTTCGATGCTGAAGATGCTTCTTGATGCGGGAGGAGGTAGGGTTTTTCTTTTCTTTGCTCTCTTCCGCCTTTGCGTTGCCCATTGCTAGTGTTTCTAGTCTCTGTACGTGGCGCTTTAGATCTCGTAAGGACGCCGTTAGGGTTTATGGCTTCTGGAATATCTCTTGCCAAGATTATGGTCCATCTTGTCGAAGTTTACCTTTTTCAAAGTCTGAGTAGCTGTTTATAAGCGTCGGTGCATGTGGGTTCTGCTTGTCTTACGGTTTTTTCTTTCTTCTCTGTTTCAAAGCTTATGTTTGGTCGTGTCTGCTAAAACGTATCTGTTATGTCTCCTCGCAGGTATTGTTGTTACTAATGATGGAAATGCTATTCTGCGTGAACTAGATATTGCTCATCCTGCAGCCAAGGTGTTATTTCTGCTACCATGTGTCATTCTTGTTGGCCTTCGACTCTGCATTCCTCCTTTTGCCGATCTTTGTCTTTTTTGTGACTGATTGTTGCAGTCCATGATTGAGTTGAGCCGTACACAAGATGAAGAAGTCGGTGATGGGACAACCTCTGTCATCGTGCTGGGTATGGATCCTCCTTCCTAATCTTTGCCAAAAAGAATTTTGCTTGCAAATTGCTTAGCTTGGATGATAAGATAGCTATTTCGTTCAGCTTAGTTGTGGATAGTCAGGATAACTCCGTTGGATTGGATGAATGCTTTGCATGAGGTGAAGACAGTGTTTCCCTTATTGATGGAAAAATCAACTTTTCGATAGTGTTTGTATGACTACTAGTTCCCGCATTTTGGTCCGGATGAGTAACCCGCATTTTTGTTGTTTACACACACGGTAATTTATTTTCCATACAGCTGGTGAAATGCTACATGTTGCAGAAGCTTTTATTGAGAAGCATTACCATCCCACAGTCATATGTCGAGGTATGCTTGTGCTAAATACGGTTCATTGTGTTATAGAGATTGTCCTTTTCGTCTAAATGGTGCTTTCTTCGCACAGCTTACAATAAGGCTCTTGAGGATGCTATTGCTGTTCTCGACAAAATTGCAATGACGATTGATGTCAATGACCGTAAGTATTAGTCTAGCGTCATGCAACCACCCAGTATCGCGGATGTTTGGCTTTTCTTTATGGTGGTATTGATGGAATAATATATATGATTGCAGGAGCAATGATGCTGGGATTAGTAAAGAGCTGTATAGGGACTAAGTTCACCAGCCAATTCGGAGATCTGATTGCTGTAAGTACTTGAATTATACCTGGATTACTGAAGGATTTATGCCCACATCAAACTCCTTAGTTTCATCATATGTATTAAGTATACATGGAGTTATCTATTCTGAGGTGCAAATATATTCATGTATCTAAATGGTGTAGAAGCTGCATGATTAGTACGATAATATATAATCAATTCAACTCGAAATTCTTTTTTCCTTCCCCGGTTATGTTTCCTCTACTCTTTTACAGGGTGAATTATATTACGGTTTTTCATTGTACATGGCTCACATTGCTTTGCTTGCTTATATGGTTGTATTAGGATTTGGCTATTGATGCCACAACTACTGTTGGTGTTGATCTTGGGCAAGGATTGAGGGAGGTGGATATAAAAAAGTACATCAAGGTTGAGAAGGTCCCTGGCGGTCAGTTGGAGGACTCAAAGGTTCTGAAAGGAGTGATGATTAACAAAGATGTGGTTGCTCCTGGTAAAATGAGAAGAAAGATCATCAATCCACGGATTATTCTTCTCGATTGTCCCCTTGAGTACAAGAAAGGTGAAAACCAAACCAATGCAGAATTGGTGAGAGAAGAGGATTGGGAGGTGTTGTTGAAGATGGAAGAGGAATACATCGAGAACATTTGCATGCAAATATTGAAGTTCAAACCCGATTTGGTGATCACAGAGAAGGGGCTTAGTGACTTGGCATGTCACTATTTCAGTAAAGCCGGGGTTAGTGCAATCCGGAGGTTGAGGAAGACAGACAACAATAGAATCGCTAAGGCATGTGGAGCTGTGATTGTGAACAGACCCGATGAACTGCAGGAGTCTGATGTTGGTATCGGGGCTGGCTTGTTTGAGGTCAGAAAAATCGGGGACGAGTTCTTCGCCTTCATTGTTGATTGCAAAGAACCCAAAGCATGCACTGTACTCCTGAGGGGACCAAGTAAAGATCTCCTCAACGAAGTGGAAAGAAATCTACAGGTATGTCCTTTTTTTTAACTGAACTTAGATATCAGACGGCCATAATCATATAGCTAACACATTTCTGCGTGCAGGATGCGATGTCTGTTGCAAGAAACATTATCAAGAACCCCAAGCTTGTTCCCGGTGGTGGAGCCACAGAATTAACAGTTTCTGCCACTTTGAAACAGAAGAGCTCAACGATCGAAGGCATAGAGAAGGTTAGTTTTTGTTTCTTCCTTCTTCCTTGCCCTTATTAGCTAAGAGTTGATGTTGTTTCCCTTATGATACCTGTTTATGCATTTGCATCAGTGGCCTTATGAAGCAGCTGCTATAGCTTTCGAGGCTATTCCTCGAACCTTGGCTCAGAATTGCGGAGTTAACGTGATCAGAACTATGACCGCATTGCAAGGAAAGGTATAGCCTTTCTATTCCCTGATGCACGTCTCTGTTGACATTTTGGATGATAAGACTTCTCTCTTTCGGGGATTGAATTTTCGCGGGTTTTCTACAGCATGCTAATGGTGAAAATCCGTGGGTTGGCATCGACGGGAACTCTGGTGCCATCGTCAACATGAAAGAAAGCAAGGTAAGGGGCTTGAAACTCTTGTTTCTCCCCAGAGATTTTTGCTATTTCTGATCGGATTTCCTCTTGGATATAACGAGGCAGATATGGGATGCGTATAACGTAAAGGCGCAAACATTCAAGACGGCGATAGAGTCGGCGTGTATGCTACTGAGGATAGACGATATAGTGAGTGGGATAAAGAAGAAGCAAGCTCCTGGACAAGCCCCTTCAAAGCCTACCGTTGAAACTGAAGCAGATGCAGATGGCGAGCAAATACTTCCCGACTAAGACAAAACCACGGTCTTTGCAATTTATAACAGAACAGAGTCTGTCTTTTTCCTCTCTCAATCGTTTTTTTTTTGTTTGCTCCAAATGTTGTTTTTTTTTTCTGTTGGGTGAGTTTGTGCAATGTGTTTGTGAAGATGGGGCCCTCCGTTTCTTGCATATTTTGAATTTTATGACCAAATGTAGGAGTTTGCTTCTGATATCTACCGGATGAGTTGCTGCCCGTGACGTACTCGGGGGTTTGTTTGAGTGAATATTAGGAGTGTTTATTTTGGTTTAGTAACGTGAAAACGAATAATGTAGGAATATAATTAAGAAAATGAATTTAAAAATAATAAAGAAATGTTTTTTTAAAAATTAAGTTGAATTTGAGATAAATTTAAAACCGATTGGTTGTATATCGTTATGTTCACGGATATGATTATCGATGTTTTCAAGTCGTTTTACAGTGTTGTCAACAGGGGTGATTATTTCGATTATTAACCGAATAACTAAATCGAATTTAAGCGAATAAGACATAATTGTACCTGAATTGAATCTGACATCAAAATCGCACGGTTATGATGTCTTTAAACCCAAAAAACTAAAATCGAATCAAACCGAATAAAAAATAGTCAAAAAAACCGACAATTTCTTTGAAAAAATAAAATTTTTTACCAAAATAAACCGAAGTTTATATAAAAACCGAATGTCTATAGTTTTTCTATAAACAAACCTGAATATAACCAAACCGAATCCGAACCGAAATCTGAAATGGTCACCCCTAGTTGTCGAGAGTGATTGCATTTGGTTGCGATTTGATTTTTCAAATTTTGTCTTGGTTATGATTTAATTAGCTAGTTTTTTAATCGTCAACAATTATTTGCAGACGATGATGGCAGTATAACCAATTTGATCCTAGTTTTTTAATCGCTATCAAGGTAATAAATTTTAATTATTTTGTTTTTGGATGGTGACGATACAACCAAGATGAGTAGTAATTTTCTAATCGTCAACAACATAAAAAATCGTAACCGTTCTGTTTGCGGATGGTTTCGGTGCAACCATTCAAGGACTTGGTATTTATACACATTTGAAGCCGTACGGGGCGATATACGAGGGCAACGGATACTCAATATCATCTCAACACATTTGGAAAGGCATATTTATACAGGCTCAATGGAAAATTATTAGAGTAATATGTAATGGGTTATCGTTGTTCCATTCCCGGGTTTGTATATTGGACGTTACACAACAACACATCGACCCTTTATAACTTGTACGAGCTTTGATCTAAACCAGAGATTAGTTGTTGATCCTCGAAGAACCATTAACGACGACGAGAAAACAGAGAAATCCTCAGTCGTGGATCTTCTCAACGTCGTTGCGATCATCTTCAGGCAGCATGTACCTTTTCCAGAACCAGTGGGGCTTCCAGACGCGCTCTCTCATGGCGTCGATCGGGACACCTTTCGTCTCGGGGACGAAGAAATAGGCGAAAAGTCCCATAATTATGATCCAGCCGCTGAAGAAGAAGAAGATGCCGGCTCTCATGTTGCAGAGCATCGACAGGAAGGCTTGAGCTATCAGGAATGTGAAGAACATGTTGCAGGAGACAGCACATGCGAACCCTGCTGTTCTTGTCTCTAACGGGAATGTCTCGCTCGGGATTAGCCACCCGAGCGGACCCCATGACCAGGCGAATCCCATCACGAACAGCAATACGCAGACCACGACCACGATCGATTCCGCACGCCCGAGCGTTCCCGAGATTGTCAGGTCCTTTGCCAGGATGACTCCGATGATTGCCTGGAAAAGAGACAGAGGTTTCATTGTTTTGTCTGCAGATTGAGGGAAACGATGATTTGAGAGAAGAGGGAAGAGAACGGACCTGGGAAATTAGCATGTGGACGGCTGACTCGAGCAATAGAACTCGCCGGCCGGTTCTGTCCACGAGGTAGATCCCGACGAATGTGCAGAGGACATTGATCGTACCTGTGATGACAGCGGAGAGCAAAGCAGCGTCGTTCCCAAACCCGACGGTTTGAAACAGGGCAGGAGCGTAGAACATGATGGCGTTGATCCCTGTGAACTGCTGAAACAGCTGAAGCAACATCCCGATAACGAAGGGAGGCCGACTCGCTGGCTTCATCAGCTTCCTGTAAGGGTCCTTGACCTGCCTGGCGAATTCACAGGCCTGCACGATCGATTCGAACTCTTCTTCGACGTTTTCGACACCTCTGATCTTCTTGAGAGTGGCTTTCCCAGCTTCCAGTTTGTTCCGCTCGATGAGACTCGTTGGTGTCTCGCAGATGACCAGCGATCCGAGGCCTAGGATGACAGCAGGCACGGCCGCACCACCAAGGGCGTATCGCCATCCGTTCGGATGGACCTTGGAGGTGAAGTAATTCACTACATTGGCGATGAGGATTCCGATTGTGACCATGAGTTGGAAGCATATGTTAAGGCCTCCTCGGAGTTTCGCGGGAGCGATTTCCGATAGGAAAAGCGGGACTGCCTGAAGGATTTCCGAACCATAAGAATGTACATATGTAAAGAATTCGTGTATATATGCGTTTACGTGAGATTATGTATAAGCATGTCAACGAATATACTTTACCTGGTTGCCAAAACCAACTCCGAATCCGAGAAAGACCCGGCCGAAGATGAGCATGACGAGGCTTTTGGCAGCAGCAGTGAGGCCAACCCCAACCAAGAAGAAGATGGAAGCGAACTGCATGGTGGGTCTACGACCAAGCTTAGAGCAGACAGCCGAGGCAGCGAAACTGGCCACGAGGGCAGCCAGGTACAGAGAGGAAGTGAACAACTGTAGGAACTGGTTGTCATATTTGCAGTAGTTGTTCTCGTGCGCATGTAGTTTCTTCTCGTACACTGCCGGGAAGAACTCCTTCAAGAAATCGTTCATGGCCGACACTCCTCCTGCAAATCCAAATCCAATTCCATCATCAAGAGTATGCATATTTAGCTTCGGATCATATAGATCTCTGTCATAACCGATAAATAAGACGACAGATCTCACTAAACTTTCCGGAAAACGTTTCAAAACCTGATAGACCAATATATTGTTCCGAAAGGGCGGAATCAATAAACCCATCGGTATGCAAAAACACTCATACTCGATAACTGTCACACGATCTATCGAGTTACGAATCTACGGCAGTGTTTTCCGCAGTTCTTGATACAAGAGACAACAAAACTGAAACGTTAAAAATGAGAGAGAGGGGGAGAAATACAAACCCGAGATCCCGATGTCGTAGCCGAAGATCAAGCCGCCAACCGCTGAAATGATGACGCAGACGAAGACGTAGACCGTCATCTTGGCTTCGAAATCAGGGGCCGTGCCCCCGCTCACGACAACCGCAGGCATCTTAACGTATCACAGTCTCTACCTCTCTATCAGACAGCACAAAAACTCTAACCTGTGTTTCGGTTAGAGACAGGGAAACAAGAGTGAAGCAGGAAGAGACGGAGACCATAGATTTATACAGAGGTTTGGGATGAGATGAAGGGTTTATGGTTATGTTTGTTTAAATATGGGAAAACGGACCAAAAACAGAAAAGAGGGAAACACGGATATTGAATGGCGTGCGTAAATAAGGAAAGCTATCCTTTGTTCTTACCCATCGACAGCAAATTCTTCATTCCTAACAATCAATACACTTCCCTTATTTATGTCTCTTTGGTATGTTTCGGATTTGTGCCGTAACGTCAACGCCAACGCGCTTAGTTGCCGTTTTGCGTTCACCCCTTTCCTGTTTTTCACAGATCAGCATGTGTGTATATATTGGTTGATAGATATGTATAGACAGACATACGCAAGGAGAAAGGATATTTACATTTAATTAACAAAGAATCCTAAATGACGTGATTATTTTATCCTCTGTTAATCCACACGAATAGACAGCACAATCCTATCTCTTCAGATCATCCTTTTGTAACAGTTTTGGGGGTAAAAAGATTCTCGTTTTAATGGCAATGAATACAGAAGGGTCTGAGAAGAAATCGACCTTTCGAGGAAGATTAGGATAATTAACATCTTCAACTGATTCTCCGTTGTTTGTATCATTTAGCCTATCAGATTGTTTAGGAGCGGACGAGGTGCATCCGAGTTTCCCCGCCACCTTTCTATCTCACCGTACTGAGATCTACGGGAAGAAATGAGACAGAATGGCGTTAAGAGAAGGCCGAATTATCTAGAATGGAGAGGGACAAGAACTGGTAACACCATAACCGAAACCTCGACAAGGTTTTGTTCAAAGACGTGGACTATAGTAGCAAGACCTTACACTAGTTTCCTGTTGAAGCTCAACTGAGGAAGACTCCCCGTCATTCTGCACCGAAACAATGATTGCCTCGATTGTTATTTCCAAGTCGTCGTGAAACAGAAAGTTCCATATAGATAGTGACCTTAGAATGAATACCTCGATAAGCAAATCTTTTCTGGTAATCAAGCCTACCACACGAGAAGGACGTGGAATAACAAATAGATGCCTCAGCCCGAGTTGCCGGAAAAGGTTATATACCTGAATCAGCAGCAGATTCGGCCTTATATATGATGAGAGAATGCCCCCAAACAGATCGCGTTCTAATCAATCAATCAATAATAAGACAGCTTACTCACCTTTGTTAGAGACATGTCTTCGGGAACAACATACGGAGATGGATTTAAAAACGGGGCAAGATCAATGTACATCTCTAAATCATCTGTAGTTAGATGTATATCATCTATGCTTATCCCTTTACTTGAAACAGGTTTAGCGAACTCACTAAAATTGTGCCTGGAGAAAGCAGAATCAACTATGTATTAGACAAAAGACAGCTCCTTGGGTTTTGCAATCAGAATGCAAAGAATGTGAAATAAATATGAAAACATGTTTACCCGATAGCTCTCGCACTTGGATCACAAGGCAGAGGACTATGCTGAAAATCTACCTTTGACTGAAGGAGAGCAAGCAAATGACTGCAATGGTGAACCAAACTCAGAATTCACATTTCCTAAGGAATAATGAATACCCTTTCCAGCTAGAAAATGTTAAACGGATATACTCACATCACATACCTACGAAGGAGTAAGCCCATGACAAGTGTTTCACCACTTCTCGCGTGATCAATCACCTAAACGATATCAAAACATACAAAGAATCAATACATATCACTATACTGTTCACAACCCGAATACGTGTGGGAGTGAGCAAACTTACTGGAAATCCGTTGTGTGCATTGCTGCGCAGAATAGAATAAACATCTGCAACCCTAACAACTCGAGGCAAGGAAACGACCTTCAAAAGGGCAACAAACGCCAAAGACCCACATGTTAGTTGATTAACAGGAAACAGCTCCCTTCCCTCTAATGGGACAAATGATAGCTACCTTCTGGTTTCTACATGCTTCCCTAGCAGTCGTTTGCCGCATTTGGTACTTGGGTCTCGAATCAAGCAACGGAATACCCCTCAAGTGTGCTTGTACTTCATATAATCCCTCATTGAAAGCATCACCAACAGCCTAAAAACAAAAACGATTTAAGCGCATATCAGTCGAAATCAAGATGAAAGAAATGATGGTTTTCTACAACTCATACCTTAGAGATCAGAAGAACCAGCATTATAAGAGGCAGAAGTTTCAGGTTGTTTGTGATTTCAACCATGATAACACATAAAGATACTGTCATCCTCATCGAGCCTCCGAGAAAAGAAGCAGCTCCCAGCAAAGCATAACTAAACATCAAAGAGTTGCTTTTGTATTCAGATACCAATAAACAAATAAATAAACAGTTCACGGCACAAATTTAAGAAAGAAATGCTAATGCCACAAATTTAAGCAGCATAAGTACTAAGGCCTACAAAAAAAATATAATACAGAAAGAGACTCACGTTCCCTCCTCGATATTGAGCTTCTTGTAGAACCTAACGACAAACATGCCAACAAGGCGTCCATAGGTTGATCCTATCATTATTCCAGGAACAAACTGACCGGCAGGAACAGCAGTTCCAAATGTCACCACTGCTAATGTATAAAACATAGCCTGCACAAAATTAAACGTCAAAGGATGTGCGAACGGCGAACAATGTTTGGAGATTAGGAACAAGGAACATAAACATAGGCCAAGAACATCCAAATAAGGTGTCAGAAAACCATTTTTAAGTCGAATCAGCAAATCTCTTATCCTCTTGCTAGCATGCTTACAGTACTCCGACTCTCAAATGCTGTGGATAACTAATTGTACATCCCGGAACATGTGACCATGTGATTTTGGATAGATTCTTCCAAGAACAAACCAGATAAGAAAATGACTTCCGTACCAAAAAGGTTAACAGACTCTGAGCGCTGAACTCGTGCATCGTTTTTGCGCTAAACAAATTTCGTATTGCATCATCCTGCCACCAAAATGAGAACAAAAAGATTCAGTTGAAGTAGACAGGTTAGAACCCGGATAAAAGAAAGTAAAAGAGGGAAAAAAATGAGATGCTATGAAAGGAAAGGCATATGACCTGAGTATTGAAGAAAATTGTTGCAAGATCATTGTATTCGTTTCCTGTCTTGCAGTAGAACTATGACCATCAAGAAAAAGCAACAAGAATGCAAAGTCAGAAAGTTCATCAGGTACAAAGGTATTGCTGAAGTTCAAGGAATTGATTATTAAATTTTCTTAAGAAAACATCAAATCAGTTCATGATGAAAGCCTTCTCATGAGAATGTTAAAAGTTCACCAAGTATACTTAGTGTATTGAGCTCTGTCCTGGTTTCTTACATTTACATAATTCCCATACATTCCTGGAGGCCGGGGACATTCAATACCAGAACCAGGATCTGGTCCAGGGCATGGGCTACACCTTCTCAGGAGTGGTAGGCCAAACGAGATTGCCGAAGTTATACACGAGATGATGCAAGCTTCAATTATCTGCAAACCCAACACATTCAATCACAGTTTCTTAGAGCCAGCCCAGCACCGAGATGATCAAAGCAAAAGCCAAAAACAAAACAGAATCCAACCCAAAAAAAGGGGCAAAAAAAATAAACAAAGGAGCTCACTGAAGATTACCTTAACTCGGTTGCCATTCTTATGCAAAGAATTCCGACGCCAAGATGTCATATATAGCGTAAGTTGGTTGAACAAAGCACCTAAAAACGAAAAACGTCATGAGAAATGAAAGTTTTACCGAAGGATAAAGTAAGTCAAAAGCTATAAAGCCTGACCAAGAAGGCCTCCAATAACTCCAATTACAGCCATTGGCAGAAGCTCCTTGAAGTAGTAGTCATCTTGACCACTGCAAAAGAGAGGAAGACATGTTTGAGTTAACTCCAGCATGATCAACCTATTTAGGCATGAAAGAATATGTAAATCAGGAACCTTACTCTGATACATCCCATATAATGAAACCACCTGCACCAAAGTGTCCACATTTTCCACTCTTGCACCATCCCATGGCGGTACGAACCACAACAGCCACCACGGCCGAAGTGAAAAAGACACGCCACATGAGTTGGCTTCTCCACCTTCGAGAGAAGACACAAATTAATCTAAATGGGCATACTGTGTACAGCGAGCCACACTAGGTAAAACAACCTAAAGGGTAAATGCATTGTTGCAAGGCCACACCAACAACCAATTGGGAAAGAAATAGAACAACAGACAACAAAGTTCCTGAAATGATTTTTTCACGGAAACGGGACAGAATTCTTTCAGGTGCTAAAAAATGGGGAAAGAACCTACCAAGACGTGACCTCCTCTAACGCAAATAGCACTCCACCAACTGGAGCTCTAAAAGCAGCAGCAACTCCAGCTGCACATCCACAAGTGACCTTTCAGGACATCAGAAAAGGGAAACCATAAGCTTCTCCAAAGAAAACTTTCACCTCATCTTTACTGCGAAAAGAGCCAATACAATTCTTAACGAGAAGCATAAGGCACTCACAAGATCACGGCGATCTCTGTCACTCTTGAAAAGTTGAGGCCACCGAGAATTCAGATGATATTTCGTAGACCCACCCTGAACGAACAGAAATCAAAGAGAAAAAAATATTGCTACTCTGCAGCAGCCCAGCGAAAAGACACCGAAGAGTATTGTGAAAAGCAATATTCAACCTACATTTTCATGCCTTTGGATACTTACCTGACCAAGTAAAGACGCGATGCAAGCACCCGTATGTATAAGAGGGCCTTCTTTCCCCAGTGCTAAGCCACCACCAACAGAGCCGATGCTTCCAAATATCTAAAACAGAAATAGCTATACAAAAATGTCTCCAAGATACAGCAAATCTATTTCCTAGAATAGTAAGATCCACCATTAAAGCTCAATCATAGTATGCACCTTTCCAATGAGAGTTCTAAAGAGCAGGATCCCATGAATATCAATTCCTGCGCAGTCAAATGCAAGAAAATCAAAGCTACAAAAGAATAGAGAATCAAAAACTTTCAGGCAATATCGATAAGAAAAGGCATTAAAGCGGTAGACGTACCATTTAGATAACCCTTAATCTCAGGAATACCGGAACCAGCAGCAGCAGGAGCGAATTGGGTAATGATATACGCAGAAGAAAAGACTAATGCGAGATTGATGAGAACATAAACGATGAAACCGGCAAAGTATGACTTCTGGATGATGGAAAACGTGAAGGTAAATTTCCATCCGGAAAAATTCTCGACCGAGAGATTTATGAAAACAGCCGCCAACCCAGTACCTAAGACGAATCGACAAGAATCAGACCCAAGTTCGGTCCGAAACTGAAAGTTGAAACCGAGCACACTGCAGAGACACATACCAATCCCAATTAGCAAAGAGAAGAACCATTTGACGGCAACATAGTACCCGACATAGAGCTTTCCTCGCTGCGCCTGAAAACCAGAGACAATTAGCAGAGGAGAAGGAAACAAGAGAGAGAGAGAGAGAGAGGAAGACTTACCTGTTCTTCTCTGTAAGCGTAATTCTCGATAACCTCGTAATCGAGGCTCTCAACACCTCCGCCGCCGCCGCCGCCATTGACTCCACCGCGGCGGGAGCTGAGCAGGCCGCCGTCGGCGGAAGAATCGTCGAATTCCGGGATGCGAGACCAGATATGCTTGGTGGATTCGATCCCGTCCTGAAGATGATTCGACAACATGATCAAACCCTCGCGCTCCGGTGAATCAGGGATTCGATTCGGTCGCCGGCGAATTCAAATGGCTCTCAGATTCATCAGAATCACCATTTGCTGAGATGATGATGATGATATCTGGGGAACTGTATTGGTTCCTTGTTTTACGCGTAATTGCTCCGTCTCGATCACGACCGGATCCCTGTATACAACTGCACTAAGTAATGACTTTTGTACATTTGCCTTACCATACACGGTACCGGTTTATAGTATAATGGTATCGTAGTTATCTAAAACATTTTTTATATATGTATTTTATAAATTAAATTAATAAAATTCGTCTCAGATTAAATGGAATACAAAAATAAATTTAAAAAAAAACAACTGAAACAAAACAAAACCTATCTAAAGGATAAAGTGTCTTTTTTTTAGAAAAACTAATTTTAACTTAAGTCAAATAAAAATTTCTAGAAATTCAACCTAAATTTTGAGTATATATAATTTTCAAAAACAATGTAAATGGAAGTCAAAACAAACTAAATTAAACAAAAAATATAACTGATACAAAATCCAATAATAGAAGTCAAAACAAACTAAACTAACCAAAAAAACTAAAATTATACTGATTTTGGATTAAAAAAAATAATTAACCCAAACCAAACAAAACTTGGTTTAACTTGTCTGAACCAAAATAATGATCAATTACTCCATCGATTTTTAAATAAATGACCCTTTTGATCACATTTAAAAATATTCCTAATGTTATCTTAAATATTAATTATCCAACTTATATGAATGAGAATATAATGAAAATATATATAACTTTTTATTTAATTTTTTAAAAAGGTGAAAAAATCTAAAAGTAGAAAGAGTGGTCAACGATCCACTATTAAATTCAGTCCCACATATAAACGTCAAAAAGTCGTACAAAGCAAATCTAATGGCGGTGTGATGTGTGATGGTAATCACTTGAAAATAAAAGTATACCCCAAAAATCAATTTTTGGACATCTTTATTACACAGGAAAACATGATACATTCAGTAGCTATATATCTATGTATGTATCACCTTTATTCTTTTTATAAAATTCTCCAAAAAAGAAAAAGAATGCAAATTTATTTATTTATTTTTGCCTTTAGGAGGAAGAGAAGGAGGTTTCAGTGTGTGCTTGGCCGTCAAAATCTCACAAGGCTTTAGAAGAAGTGGGATCTGAAGCAGCAAGCTCCGTGTACATTTTGGCCATTGCTTCTGCAAAGTATTCCTTAGCTTGTGGCCTTTTTATCTGCAAATTCAGCCACAGCTTTTTTCCCTCAGTTTCCATTTTCACATCACTCCAGAATCGGTTTTCAGAAACTTGCCCATCAAAAAGAAAACCCGAGCTATTCTATCTACGGGTAGAATTCACCCTCAAAAGCTAGCTTTGAGATGAATATATCCATAAACTTATAAGCCATCAACCGCTCCTATATCTAATCGACCTAGATCCATCATCAATGCTCACATGGTGTTTGACAACATTAATTGGATCAAACCTAAATCCAAACTGTAGACACATATCCATAACTTACCCTTGGAAAGCTAGTTTGCATGGGAAAGGTTTACATAAGATCTAATCTAATCATGTATTTGGTCGAGATGGGTCATGGAGATTTACCTTAAACGTTGGAGTCAGAAGGCCATTTTCCAGGGTAAATGGCTCCAGCACCAAAGTTACGGCCTTTGCGAATTCAAAGCCTCTCAACTTCAGACAAAGATACAAACAGAGAAAGTTGGTGGTTGTTCCTGTGAGGATTTTACATGAGAGGCGATAAGAAGAGAGCCAAGTTTCTGTGATGCAATTACCTGAGCTTCTCTTCCAACGGCGTCCATATCAGCCATTACCGCTGCTTTTGCCCTCGGGTCGTTACATAATTCTCTCAAATCTCCATACTGCATGTAACACTCAACATATGTTACTTCCTTGTTTTATGTAAAGAATCACTTGTGGAGGAGATTATCACCTTTATGCCTTCTGAAGCGGCCCAGGCTTTTAGAACATCTTGGTCAACCGATACAACAGCCACCAAAGATGAATTAAAGCTGTCACCTGCAAATGAAAAGCAAGGATGATGCTCATGCGGAGGAGCAATACGTGAAGGAGCAAGTTCCCGAGACTTCATTCGTTACCATATATGAAGCATTGGGCCACAAATTTGCATTTGGCATACACGTTTTCGATTTTCTCTGGAGCTATGTACTCCCCTTGGGCCAATTTGAAGATGTTCTTTTTCCTATTATAAGAGTGAGAAGATCTTATGAAATCTTTGATGCCAAAGATCGCACCACATACTGGAGAATTAACCCGGTTTGCATATAGAATGAGCTTGTAGTCCCAATGTTTCCGCTCTTAGGGGAAATTCGATTACATGCTGGTCAAAGTAATAGACACAGTGGAATTCTTGCAATTTACCAAGCAAGCATGACAACTTTATTTGAACCAATATTTATCACCAGAAAGAAGCTAAAGCTATCCATGCACGGAGCAAATACGGATGGAAAACTAGGTACTTAATCTAGGGGCCAAGGTATGAAAGTCAACTAATGAATTACGAAAAAAACTCGTGTTTCGGATTAACCTGTCAATAATTTTTAGACGTCCTCCAGGCAGCCAGAGACCTATATCACCAGTATGAAGCCATCCTTCTTCATCAATTACCTCTCTCCTGTCAATGAAATACATGTAAATGGATGGGATTAGATTATACTAAACTCTTTAATACTGGAAGATGTTCAATATTTTTGCAGCAGGTGAATACGTTTGAACTTCGTCTTTGTGATAGCCTCTGAAAATGATGGGACCCCTAACACATATTTCACCACGAGGATAGGGTTGATCTGCAGATGTGTAGTTCATTTCTGGTACGTCTACAAGCTTGACTTCTGCAACCGGAAAGCATATCACATACAATAAGCAATATATTTGAGGATTTAGTTCCAAAGCGGAACTATTTATTCTTAAACGAAGAGTACGAAAAATGAATAGTGATCAATTCCAGTGCCCACCGCAGGATGCATTAGGAGAGCCAACATGTCCAGGAAGATCATCACCCTCATCCATACCACTTATAACACAAGAAGTCTCAGTCATGCCATATCCTTCTGTTACCCTTCCTCCAAAGCATCTGCAGACAAGTCCCAAGACATGATTATGCAAACGAGAGACAAAGAAAAAGACAGAATTATACCAGTTTATGTCAAACAAAATCATACAAACCACGAACAACATAATTATCAATAAGCAAAGGGAAGAAAGCTGGTATCGTTAAAGAATGTTCATTTTGAAAACAAGAGAGAATTACTCCATGGCTGAACATAATCTTCAAGGCAGATAACTTACATTTTCAAAAATTCCATCACGTCAGGAGACAGAGGTGAAGCACCAGATGCCATAAAACGGACACGCCCTCCAAGTCTAGCTCTTATTTTATTAAATACCAACCTGTCCCATATGGGGGAGGCACTCTTCCCTGAAATTGCCAGGGGAAAAACATGACGTAATAAAAGCCATACATTGAAACTTACAAATAAAGCTTTTTCATGGCACAGCCGGAAGTCCATCTAAATACACCTATTATAGACAAACCAAATTTCATGTTCATGACAAATCTTACCATTCAACAAAGCCTGCTTTTTAGCATTATAGGCAGCATTGAAGAGCCTCTCTTTCAGCCCACCAGACGATTTTACGGCATTGATGATACTGTCAGTGCCAACAAAGATTTTAGTCATTAGTTCGGTGAAGTATCAAAGGCCGCAAAGAAAGCATAATAGTATGTAGATGATCGTACCCATCGTATATTCTGTTGTACAGTCGAGGAACACTGCAGAATATAGTAGGTCTTAGAGCAGCCAGATCATCCAGTAATTTTAAATTATCCTGCAGGAAATATGCCAAGATCAGTCCACCAAGTAAGCAGTGCACAGCTATAACACAACTTATAAATGCAAAGTAGTAGAGGTGTATCAAAAGAACCACAGTGGGACTGCTAGGAAAGATTACAGCAAAATTAAGAGACATTCTTTCCCAGTTTAAACAGTCAACTTGTGTATTGGTCATAAGAAAGAGAAGTTAAGTCACCAACCCCTTGATAGAATCCAACAGCAACTCCAAAGTAAACTGTCAGGATCTGGTTTGCTCGTTCATAAATATGTGCCAGCGGAAGATACGAAATGTAACTGCAAGTTTCGAAGAGGTTATAAGAACATCGGTTATCTATCAGTCATTTGCGACAGCCAAAAGTAGACAAGGAGTAGGAATTTTGAGGATATAGATACAGGTACCAACAAACACAGAGGAGAATACATTTGGTAAAAAGTAGTGCTGCACTCACATGTCTGAAGAGTAGAACCTCACGCTAAGACTGGAGCCAGCAACATTGGCAATCAAGTTTGCATGGGTTAGTTCGACCCCCTTAATAGATTTCAACAGGAAGAAACCCCAGATCAAGGCGGAGAGAGACATACAGCATAGCATAAAAAGAAGTTTAGTTGTCGTAGACTGCAGAAATAGGAAATAGAGATATGTATGATTCCCTATCTAGAAACCAGTAAAATCTCAAACAAGTAGAACCTTTGGAGTCCCAGTTGTACCGCTTGTATAACATATCGTTGCAACATCATCAGGCCTTGGTGGGCAAAATGGCTGAGGGTTACTGCGACCCTGAAAACAAATTCACATTACATGTACCATCACAGAGTAAGATACAGACTACCACTTTTAGTCGCAAGGTTCTCTTGGAATATTAAGGCAGTATAAGGCATCTTTATACCTAAGAAAGATGGAATTAAAATTAAAGATGGAAGTGCAACGACATTCCTGTCCATACCAGGTTTTGAGTGAATGCTGATGCGAAATAAGTTAATACGAAAGGAAAAATGCATGTTAATAACCGTACTAGCAATTTTGTCACGGTTGTTCCAAGAACAGATCATCGAGAGGGGTTTGCAAATACCTGATTCAGTAAAGTGGAATACGAGACAACTTTCACTTGTCCTGATGAGGGAAGCGAAGGCAAAGATTCGCTCAACCCTCCAACAACCTACTCAGCATATAAATGAAAATAGAAAAGAAAAAAAAAGCAACGAATATGATAAATCTAGAGTTCAGTCTTTATTCTCAAACCATAATAATTACTTAGAAGTACGGATGGTTTCTTTGTACCACAATCAGGCGTACTGTTGGCATCTCAGACAAGAAGCTCAGTAACTGTGAGATCAAAAGATAACCCATGTAAGAAGGCAATGAAAGAGACAATAGAATAATGTAATTAAGATTTCCTAAGGTGTGAACTCTTAATAGGAACACAGTCAATCAAGTGCAAAAACGAAGGCAACTCAAGCAGCATATGGCTAAACTTACAGAGTTTAAAGTTTCAGGCACACAAAATATGGCTTGAACAGTGGCATGATTGACAATAAATTTGACAGCGTCGGGACCTTCAGCAATGCAAAATATGCTTAGACATATTGGATAGCAATGGAAAGAATCTTTGGTAGAAGTAATACACATTGAGCAGACACATACCGAGAGTGTCATACAAAGGAACAGATACATAAGAATACGAAGAACAGGCATGGTCGACGATGAGCCACTCAGGACGGTTGATAAAATAAAGTCCAATAGAAGATCCCTATCATGAAGATAAGAAGACAAATTCACTGTAATGATTCTAAGTCAGCTGAAAAAAATAACAAACGTGAGCTAAAACATCACTCCAGGGAGAATTTTCGGAAAAAGATGGCAAAAGCATGTACAAAGATATAGAAAATTGAAACCCACCACAGGGATTCCATGATAAACTAGTCCAGAACCAAGATTAGTTCTTGCTGTACCAGCTTCTCCATAAGTCATCCATTTGTAGCTGCAGAAGGAGAGATCGAATCATGTAACTCAAAACCTTGAAAATTCTGGGATTGCAGATCCCATTTAAAAACGTTATGATCAGCAACTCACTCTCCCACTGTTCCATCAACACGAACCCGAGTTCCTAAATACTTGTAGTCTCGAAAATCTTGAACAGCATGCCTACATTTAGCAAACATGGGTAGTACGCAATAACAAGGCAGTTGAAAAAACAAATCATACGCAAACAATACATCTCGTCTCTAATGAAGATTGAAACAAGGCAGAAAAGAAACATACTCAAAGTTGTCATGAAGGGTGGCAATGTCGGGATGATCTGGGAATCTACTGACAAGCTTGAACGGAGATCGGGCAGACCTGAAGTCAGAAATCAGAAATCAAATGGATACAAAATTTCATATAAAGAGAGTGGAAAACATGTGAAAAAAGGAAAAGAGGGACACGACGGAAGAACCTGTAGACATTCCAATTGCCCGTGTGCAACTTCTCAGGAAGAACAACACTGTAGCCCTTTTCTGATACAGAGAACGACACACCCACGGCCATGGCGTCAGCATTCCCGCGTTGTTACGACATTAGAGAGAGAGATTCAGAGAATCCGAGAGAGAGATACCAACCGAGGCAGAACTCGCCAGCAGTGGGGCTAGAGCGAAGGAGAGGCGGAGAGCGAGGAGAGGTGACAAGATGGGAATGGATAGTGTCGATGCGGCGGCGGGCGGCGGCAGCGGAGGAGGAGGAGGAGTCCATCTCCGGCGATCTGAAGCAGAAGCAATGACTCGATCCAACCTTACAAATACGGTACGGGCACGCTTCCCAATCTCTTCCTTGATGTCGCTATCCCCTTGAACGATGAATATCCGATTATTTATTTAATAAGCATAAATTAACTTTTTTCCCACTTTTATTGATTTTCCAATTCGGGAAATTACAAATCTCCAACAGACTTTTCTTTACGAGGATATTTATTTCCGGAAAAAAAAATAAAGGATAAATCTGACTTAAAAGCCCATTATCAGAATTATTGAGCTTATCGTACGGACTAATTAAATGGGCTTTTATGGGTAAAATTCAGATATGCATCCTATGGGCCCGTTTCCGTTACCTAAACGTTTCGGTTGCATAAAAATCGAATTTGATATAAGTTTTAAAATTTTAATTAAATATAAAAATCATTGAAAATCTACAATTATAATTTTAGAACATAATTCTTTTTCGAAATCAAAATACAATGGTATGAACGTCGCATTGTAATTTTTCTGAAACCAAAAAATAAAAAAAAAACGATTATGTTATCTAATTTTAATTTTTATAATTCATGATCCGTAATTTATTTTAGTTTTTATATTATGATGGCTATAAATGAGAATTTATAGTAAAAAAAAAAACATTCATATCTTTATCCGCTTTATCCGTATTAAATCGCATCGGATTATCAATGAATTTCGTATGGATCCGCCACGTGGAAACTTTGGTGGTTTTTTTTTTGGTCAACTTCATTTTTGTTTTCGTTTCATTGAAGATTTCGTAATAAAAGCAAACAAATCGCTGATGAAGCATTAAAAGGGGAGAGTGGACTCAGGACGACGAATCGCCACTTTTCGCGTTCGCGTCACGTGACAGAATCGCGACTCCAAACGCCCTCCCTGCTGTATTTTCTCGATAAACGCGACGCTATTTACTCCCCCCAGGTCTATTTATTTAATAATTCATTAACTTTTTATCTTTTTTTTACAAAATAACTTTTTATCTTTTATAATCATTAACCCCATAAATTATGTGAGATTAAGAAGACGTATATAATAACCGTAAGACATTGATAGAAAATACACTGCTCAATGTTAATCACTGTGTATATATTATATATACAACTATACATGCACCATGACGTAGGTGTATCTAGAAAGTAATTAACCATTTACTTTTTGTAACGGTCCAGTGAATTTTTAGAGTAGTCCGTATTTGAATTATTTATATTGTATGCTTGCATGTGACTGCGATCTCTGTGGCTGCAGTCTCTATAATAAATTACACATGCATAATTTACATCAGAAGCCAATAAGGCCGTAGAGAGAGAGAGAGAGAGAGAGATGAGACGCGAAACGCGTCGGCCACCGTCGCCGCCGGCGAAGAAGCAGTCGCAGTCGTCGCCGCCGTCTCCGTCGTCATCGTCGTCGGAGTTCGAATTCAGCGTCTCGATCTCGCCGAGAAAAGCCTCCACTTCTCTCTGCCCAGCCGACGAGCTCTTCTACAAGGGCCAGCTTCTCCCTCTCCAGCTCTCGCCACGTCGCTCGCTCGTCCGTACACTCTGCTCGTCTGAATCTTATTATTCTTCATCCTCTTCCTCCGCCGCGCGTGACTCCACCGGCTCCTCATCCTCCACCGACTCTACTGCCTCTTTCCCGCTGCTCCTCCACGCGCCGCCGCACGACGGCTGCGACTCCTCCCGGCCAAGCTCCGTCACCGACGATGATTTCTTCAAGTTGCCACCGAAGAAGAACCCTAAGTCATCTGCTTTCTCTCTCTCCAGATTCTCTTCTGTTTTCAAGAAAGACCCCAAGAACGCCACTCACTCCTCCTCCGCCGCCGCCACCACCGCCACCGCAGCTCCCTCTCCGGTGAAGAGGATGAGCTCCACCGCGAAGGAAGTCATACGCAAGTACTTGAAAAAAGTCAAGCCCTTGTACGAGAAGCTTTCTCATAAACAGCAGCAGCAGCAGCAACAGGGTCTCAAGCTGAAAACAGAGATGCTGTCACTCAAAGACATTGATTTCCCGCGTAAAAAAGATTCCGGCGTCCGTGGACCCGCCATATCCGCCGCCGTCACCGGCGGTTTGTCGATGACGTTCTCCGGGAATCTGAAGTACCCAAGACGTGGACGTTGCGCTGCGAGCTGCCCATCGTCGATGAGGTCGTCACCGAGCCACTCCGGCGTGCTCTCTCGGAGCGGTTTTCCGGTGGAGGAATCTGGAGGAGGAAGAGCCAGCGGCGGAGGAAGTAGCATGTCTTCAATGGAAGAATTGCAGAGTGCTATTCAAGGAGCCATTGCACATTGCAAGAACTCGATGTTGCAGAAGAACAAAAGCATGGTTAGTCTCGAGATCTAGGGCTCCAAATTCAACCTTTTTTTTTCTCCTTAGTATATTTAATCAAAAACCCACGACTCAGAATTCAGATAATGGTCCGTTTTTTCCATCAACATACACCGTTTTCAAATTTAAAAAAAAAGGATAAACAAAAAATATAGATCCTTACGTAAACAAGAACGGTGTATATTGATAGTCGTGATTACACGGTGGCTTGAAAAGACTCTATGGTACTCTATTAACGTAACTTTTAAGACAAGTCGTGGTCTGTCTGTTTTTTGCATTGTAATAACCAAAAAAAACAAAAGAAAATATATAAAACTAATATTTATATATTAATATATGTATAATTAAATGGGAATCGCATGTGGAATCTAATGTGTGGTGTTGTGTTGAGTGCACGACTTGAGTGATCCGAAAACGACGGTGATCATTTAATGACGGACCCTTTGACTGTCGAATGAGTACGTACTTCGTCTCGTACCATACTCTTTGTTCAGACCAAACCAAACACGCAGTTGCTTCGAAGCTCTCTCTCTCTCTCTCATAGATTATATCATGTCGGTGTCTCTCAACCTACCCGATTGCATGCCTTACGTGCCGTTTTAGGTCCTTTTTTTTTATTTTTGGTAAGGATTTAGGTCTTATGAATAATGTTCGTGTTATGTTTTTTTTTTTATAATCCAGAAGTTAGAAATTGATCTTTAGTCCGACTACATCTTCTAGAAGATTGGAAAAACCCAGGTGAATGGTCCTCTCTACACTTGAGTTTGAACGCAGAGTGAGAGCTTGTTTTATATATTTTTTCACCACTAGACCATCCAAGTTTGAGTGTTCCTATTATGTTTTTTTTTGCTCTTTAGATTTTTTGTTTTTTTTAACGGCGGAACCCAACCAAATTCGTTCGGACGCGTTGATCTTTTGGTTCCATGTAATAGCATACAAACCACATAGAATAGATAAACCACCCAAATAATGACAGGTTCACTGGAGAGTTCATGAACCCTTGAACTACTGCACCAGGCCTCGAAGAGCGGCTCCTTAGATTCTTTACATTAGACGCCATGACTTCTTCTTCTATCGTTTTCGTTTCATTTACAATACAAATCATCCGTGACAACTGGTTCGTTAATTACCCGGTTCTCACCAGAACCAGAGTCGAGTAATTTAACCAAAGAATTAGATGGAAATCGAATATATATATATACACATAAATGCAACGGAAAATAAGAGAATCATTTAAAAAAAAATAGTTCCATTGTTGATATTTAAATGCAAGGGTGGGTGAGATATATATATATGTTTTTGTGTGTGTGTTGCTGATGTATGTAAATTATCGTGACCGATAAATCCGTGCATGGATGTGCATTCATGGGATCATCTGCTTGTCTATTTTCTTTTTAAATAAATAAATCATCGTAGACTTTCAATTTCCATTTTCGTCGCTAATTCGTTCATTAGTGCAATTAATATCTTAAGTTATGATTATGTATACAGCAGGACTTCATTTACAATTGCAATTACGATTTGTTGTACCTGTGACGCCTTTTAATTATTATTTTTTTTAAAAATTCAGTTTGGTTGAATGGGCACCACATATATACATATATAACATTAGGCATGTACATTACAATATGTCATTTCTATTTCCTGTGCCGATATTTGGTTAAACTGTCCATCGATCGGTTAACGTCGTCATGTTTTTATGTCCTATGGTTTTTAATTTGGTTTCGTTGTAACAAGTAGAAATAAGTTTTCTAGTTTGTTAGATGCGCAAAGTTTAATCATAATTGATTTATTATTAGATTATAACGTATGATAAGAAAATTAGTTTTTTTTTTAAATAAAAAAATCATTGACACTGAAATGTTTTAGACTATTTATACCTTTTACTAAGGAAAAACGAGCTGAGATTACACAATAATATTGGTCCGCAATATGTTTTTATGTTGATGGTGGATTAATCATAACAACAAAAATTAAAATCAGGTTTATATTCTATTTGGACATTAATTTGTATCCGAATAAAAAATTATCTGAAAATCAATTTGATATATTTTTAAAATTAATTTTAGTGAATAAAATTTCATTAAAAAAAACCAATAAAATTAATTTTAAAGAACAAACATGAATAAACTCCAAAATTAGACTAAGCATTAACTGGATCAAGTATGATTGAATATATATATATATATATATATATATATATATATAAAGAGACAATGCTTATTAATCAGATCAATGCACTGATTAATGGGTAATTAGCAAAAAAAAGGTGGGATTAGAGAATGGAGATTAGGGTTTGCATGAACAGTGGGACGATAAGCACTGGCATGTGTTAAGTAGGATCCTTGTAACATCGTTGTCGTGCTCACTGTCCTCACCAACGCCATTATAATAATTCAGACAGGCTCGGGGAAACACGAATAAAAATATCAGAGAGGAGAGAGAGAGAGAGAGAGAGAGAGAGAGAGAGAGAGAGAGAGAGAGAGAGAGAGA